GCAGGAACCATGACTTCAGGACAATTCAAACTGCGCACCAGCTCTTTACAGGAAGTGCAAACCTGTTAAGATGGATTTATTTTCTAAGTAGTGGTTTTCTTTACCAATGGTAGTTCTATTTTTCTGGGATTCAACTGCAGTCATTTTCATTCCATATTCTCCCTCACTCCTCTAAGCACTTGATCAAGACTTCTACATCACTTATTTAACCTGATGTTGAGATATAAAACTATGTATTTATCAGCCTATTGATGATACCAGGCCTTAAACTAATGAATGGCCTGTCCCAAAGTTTTAATGTTAGATGTTAAATAAGATTAGTCAGAAGGCTGAGTTCATTCCACGGAGGAATCTCTTTATTTCTTTGAGTGTCACTGGTTCAAAAGAATCCCAGATGACTTTGCAAAATGTTATCTCTGTCATATCATGAGACTCCACCCCCTTACATCCAGTACATGCAGTACTGGACATTTACAATCCATTTACATACAGTAAGTATGAGCAATTTTGTTCCCAAAGTGCTCCTAAAAACTAGCAGGGATTCTTCTGGTATCCCAGAGCCCAAAGGACCCAGGTCACTCTAATAATGCTGCTGACTAGCACCCTGAGGATGCAATAAATGTGGAGAAGTATTGACACTTTATATCTCTTATCATTACAGTATAGACCCAGAGCTGGGCTTTTTATCTCTTTCTGGCTGTTGTTGGTCCTTGCCTATTCCAATGTTGCTATAGGTTTCTTGTTAGGTACTTCATCTCCAGGGCTCCTCAGCAAATCAAGGAACCATATAGAATGGCAATTAGGAGCCACCCTATGAAGCTTCAAGTCTCTCTGTTCTAGAGTTCAACCAGGCCCACTTGATTGCTGGGAAAATCCCCATCATCCACTAGAAATCAGTTGGATTCATCAGCTAGCCTAATTGATCCATCCTCCCTATAGAGATTAGACTAGCCAAGTGGTCCAAATAGGACTAAATAATGAACTGACAATGGACTGATGTTGAAGTTTTCACCTCTTATAACATGAGATAATTGTTTTGAGAACATCGTATTTGTCAATCATCTACTTTCTCTTTGTGCATTATATCATGTGTTATTCAGAAAAGATAAATTTTAATTAGTTAAGTGACATGAATGCTTATGAATAACAATTTAGTGTTTATCGCTGAAAAAAAGAAGTCACTTTTCAAAAAAGGAGTTTTCTTACCATAATTGTAGGCCTCCAGATTCAAAATATCATCTTATTTTCAGGGCATTTATCTATATGCTATCTCATACTTTTAAATTCCAAAGCAATATTTTATTTTATCTGTAAGTTTTATCTCTTGCTCTCTTCCAGGGTATACATAGTATTCCTTTACTCCACAATAATAGTCATGTGAGATGGGTTCAGCTGGGAGAAAATGACTGGCAAAGTCACCCAGTGAGCTTATGTGCTTAAAAATGAAACAGAATTGCAATTTATCTATTCACAATCTAAAAATTAACTGCTGAACTGCACGTACAGAAGTCTACTATATTTATATAAGCACAATTAAGCAGATTTTAAATTAAAAAATACAGACACATTACAATGTTATACCATATATACTTACATTTTATGTCAATGGAGAAAACACCTAGATTCAGTAACAAGATATTTTAATTATATGAGTGTCTGTGATGACCAAATCCACATTTTAAAACAGCTGTTTTAGGCATCCAGGTGGATGGAGAAGCTTGAACAGCAAAACATTTTGCAATAACAGTATTGTTTTATTTAGAAAGTTCATAAATAACAAATAATTTCCAATATCACAGACTAAAATGTATATTCCATTTATATAGTATTTTCATTGAAATTAAGAGCTGTTAACATATCTGGATTTCATCATGACTTCAGTTGACCACAAAAAGGTCAGTATATTTATTGGATCCTGGAAATAGGATACATAATATTTATTTGAAAGAAGTCTATATTTTTCCCCCAAGTGATTGAACATGACAGGGTCTAAAATGAAATTTGCAAAGAAAGCAGAATGGAGGCAGATATTTTTTTTTCTCATCTATTAATTCTTTTGTAGGTATGGAATTGCCTTAAATTCTTGGTTGACTTTTGGGTATGAATGGCATTTGTTCAGATATTTTTTTTCACTGTTGAAATGTACATACTGTACATACTGATCCAGGTACAGATTTCCAGGATATTGTTGGTTGCTGCTGTTGTTCTCAACCAGGGTTGTCAAACTCGCCACGTCATGTGACGTGTTGCGATGTATCGCAACTCTTTTTGCATTGCCGGCAATAGAGTGGGCGCGGCTTCAGTATGATGAAACTGGCTTGTGGGCCGGCAGTTTGACACCCCTGTTCTAAACTGTGTAAATCATCCATCGATTTCGATGAAGACCTTGACATCTTGTGGGTTATGGGCCATCAACGATGTGTCCGTAGGTGGCTAATAAGACCGATGTTAGCACAGAATGTTCTGCCACATACTGAACAAAGAAATGTAGACACTGTTACTTCAGCATTTGCAGCTCTGGCTTTGCGGAGTGCTCGCTTTTCTTGTGCCAAGATTGTCCTTCTGTGTTCATATGTCTGGCAACCCTGGTACACCAAGGTGCGCCATGTTGGTTGATCATGCGCCAGAAGTTCCCAAGAGATGGTGTTAATATCCAGGGACTTAAGAGAGGCTTTCAACATGTCTTTGTATCGCTTCTTTTGTCCCCCGTGTGATCGCTTTCCTTGAGACAGCTCACCATAGAAGAGCTGTTTAGGGATGCGATGATCTGGCATCCTTACAACATGGCCTGCCCAGCGCATCTGGGCTTTCATCAACAGAGTGTAAACTGATGATAGGCCTGCTCTGGAGAGGACATCTGTGTCTGGTATCTTATCCTGCCACTGGATCCTCAGAATTCTACAAAGGCAAGTCATGTGGAAGTAGTTCAGTTGCCTAACATGCCTCCTGTACACTGTCCAGGTCTCACTAGAATACAATAGGGTAGTTAGCACTGCTGCCTGGTAAACTTTAAGCTTGGTAGCAAAACTTATTCCACGGCGGTCCCACACATTAGTCTGCAATCTGCCAAATGCAGAACTTGCCTTCGCAATTCTACAGTTGACCTCGATGTCAATTGTCACTGCACGGGAGAGGGTACTACCAAGATACGTAAACTGGTCCACTGCTTGCAGCTTTTGTCCCTTTACTGTGATGGTAGGGTCTTGATATTGGGTTTTTGGAGCTGGCTGGTACGTCACTTCAGTTTTCTTCGTGTTGATGAAGAGGCCAAAGTTGTCACAAGTAGCTGCGAATTTGTCCATGCTGGCTTGCATTTCCTGCTCCGATCCTGCATTAAGGGCACAGTCATCAGCAAAGAGGAGATCTCGTAGTACAGTCTCCTTTACCTTGGTGACAGCCTGAAGTCTTTGCAGGTTGAACAGGTTCCCATCGGTTCTGTACCTCAGATTAACATATACATTTTTTGGATTGCTAACAAAGAATAAGGGAGGATGGAATAGCTATTTTGAGCTTCTTAGCTCTCTTCAGCCAAACATACCCTTCTGAGATTCGAACCTGGGCTGCTTACATGTTAGGCAGCTGTGTTAACCTCTAGGCCACAGGCTCCTTCTCACTTTCTCAGCTGTATCAGGGAGGGAAGAGACAAGGGGAGGAGATTTACCTTGAATGTTTTTTGATGCACCCTGTCGGCCCAAATATGGGAGAAAGAAATCTTTCTTTCTTTCTTTCTTTCTTTCTTTCTTTCTTTTTCTTTTGCCTGTATCAGCTCAATCTAGAGCCATCCACAGGCAGCAGTCACCAACTGCGACATCATTTGTATATATACATTTTTTGGATTGCTAACAAAAAATAAGGAAGGATGGAATAGCTATTTCGAGCTTCTTAGCTCTCTTCAGCCAAACATACCCTTCTGAGATTCGAACCTGGGCTGCTTACATGTTAGGCAGCTGTGTTACCTCTAGGCCACAGGCTCTTTCTTACTTTCTCAGCTGTATCAAGGAGATACAGCTGAGAAAGATAATATTCTTATTTTATTTTTTACTTTTTATCCTGTTTTTATCTATTTGTTGTTGCATTCAATTGTTGTACACCATCCAGAGTCACTTTGTGCAAGATGAGTGGCCATATAAATACAATAGATAAATACACAAGTAAACAAAGGATTTTTAAAATATATAACTACAAATAAAGTCTAATGTGAATAAAATAATCTTTAACTAAATCATTCTTCAAAATCTTTGCTACTGAATTAATGTCTAAGTCAATACTATCTTCTGCACTTTTAAACATCACTGAAAGAAAAGTCAAGTTTAATTTCTAAAGCTTTTGAAAATAAAAAATTCAGTAACTAAGAAGAAAGACAATTAATTTCTTATGTTATAAAGGATCTTCATGTTTCCAAGTGTCCTATTCCTCATTAACCTCCTTGCTCCTACATTTCCTATATTTGTATATTGTGCAAACCAATCTGTGGAAGGCCAAGCATGATCTGTCTTTCCCAATTTGAATAAAATGTTTATTATTTTCTTACGCTGAAACACACTTTAATATTCTTCTGTAATTCCTATTAATTGCAGTGGGCTTGTACAAGAGAACTTTCTAAAGATTATGTTTTATATTTGGATAATAAAGGTAACATTTACATTAATATTTCATTTCCCAACAGTTCATTGCATAATGAATGGTTCATTGCATAATATACCTCTTTGTTATTTTCTCTATCAGCAATCAGAAGACATGTAATTGCTTGGAAGAAAATGGCAACTTTTGACAAGGTATAGATTTCTTTTAAGAAAGTATGGTACCTGAATTGCTGCACTATACAGTATAAATATTGAATTAAACAAAACTTTTTAACAATCTGCCACGTAGAATAAAGTTAGCAAATAAGATTTAGTGAGGAACAAATCTGAAAGAATTAACACTTGGATCCGATGCTTAAAAAATAGAGAGAATTGGTCCACTGTATCTGCAACCTTGCACAGTAAATTCTCACTTACCCTGTTGGTGATTTTTTTGCCATTCTTGACTTCTACTGCCAAACCAAGATCAGACAATCGGCAATGACCATTATCATCCAGGAGGACATTTTCTGGCTTCATGTCTCTGTAGACAATTTTGATGGAGTGGAGGTGCAGTATCCCACAGATAATCTGAGCTGAGTAGAACATGACTCTGTCCCTTTCCAAGCCTCTTTCACCCACATTGTAAATGTGATATTTAAGGTCCCCACCATTCATGAGGCTTATGACGAGACATAAAGCAGTTTTACTTTGAAAAGCGTAGGCCAGCCTGACAATGAAACGACTGTTGACTTTTTCAAGTATCTCCTTTTCAAGAAGAGCCATACTTTCACCCTTTTTTTTCTTCAATCTTTTCTTATCCAGCTTCTTACAGGCATACATCTTCCCTGTACATTTCACCTGGACAGCACAAACCTACAGCATGTTCCATGCAAAAGGAAAAAGTCCAAGTGAGCCATTTATATTGGGAAGTAGAGAGATGGCAATGACAAGTCTGAAGTGCTTTAGTGCTAACTTGAAAATAAGGTCCCTTGCCTGGAATATATCCTTCTAGCCTTTCTACTTACTTAAAGTATCAGTAGTAACACTATATATGTTTAAAACTATTTAAAAGTAACACATTATATTTTGCATTTTGTCCTGCCTGTTACAAGTTGTCGTAATTGCTTATATAGGTGAGGAATACATTTCATAAACAAATAATAGAATTATTTACTATCCCGTGAAAAATAAAATGATTTCATATAAGCAACTCTGAGCCAATTAAAGGGAGAGCTACATATTGCTCCTGAATACATATTACTGCAGAGAAAATAACCAGTGAAAAGCACTAAAACAGGGATATAGGACAAGAAACCTTGTTTGTGCAAGAGCATAGCTAGTGACCCATGGTCTAATGAATTTATTTAAGTATAAGCTCATCTATATACACAGCATCTAGATTAAGAAACTGCTCCTTACCTCTCCAAAGCCTCCCTTGCCTAATATTCGGAACTCTTCAAAGAATTTATCATTTATAGGTTGCTTCTCATAGCTTTTCCATTGCAAGAATTTCTCATAGAATTGACTGGTCCGGAAGCCTTCGAAGGGTTTTCCCTTAAGAAAGGTTTTTGTCTCTTCCCTGGCCAACTGCATGATGTTCTCAAAATCATTTGCGGAAGCTGACTGGCACTTGTTGGATAGATCTGTACTAAGATATTTCAAGTAAGTATTGCTAACATTCTTCAGATACATGTTGACCATGCCCTCTAGGAGACTATTCTTGATGCTTTCTTCTGATATCTCCCAAACAGCAATTTCATCCAAGAATTCTTGGGCCAACTGGTATTCAGGCTGAGTCGCCACGTAGTCTTTGAAATATATCTTGCCAATGGGTTGTTGCTCACAAATGCTCTCATAGTCCATAGAAATGGAACTCTTGATTTCAACACATTCCTCAACCTTAGGTAGGTTAATGCTCTTGCGCCGCTTTTGCATATCCTTGGTGTCCACATCTCCAGACTTCCTGGCCTGTAAATATGCTGTGTTGGCAATCAGATTATCAAGTCCTCCCATATCACACATCTTAGCAATCAATTGGAGTAGCAAACCTTGCTGAGGTAAAAACACTGGGGAACCTTGCAGTATTTCTCTGGGTTTTGCTTTTTTGTGCCACTGCCCTGTTACATGTATAAGCTTCAGAGAATAGGAGGGAGACTGCTGACTCCAGTATTAAATACCTCTGAAGGATTTTCACTAATACCTTTAAGGTGTATGTACCATTTGTGGAAAATGGCTAGTAAGAGGTTTCTCTGTAAGGAGCTTTAGGTTTGCTATCTATAGCTAAAGGGATGCCATCCCAGGAAAAGCTCCTCACTACTTCCACTACCATCTAGTGTTCATTTCTCAGTTCGAGTCTACAATTTATGTCTAAAGAATGCTAGGTCATTCTATATACTCCCTTTTTTAAAAGCAGTTTTGATATCAGTATCTTCATTTAACCAGCCAAAACACATGGCACCATAGCACACTCTAAAAACAGCTATGCAAAGTAGGCCCACCAGAACTGCAAAACTGTCTTTAAACCAAATAGGATTTTCAGGAATTCACAAAAGTTTAACTGCCTTCAGAATTTTCAAATAGCAATTTTGGTAAGGAAGAATAATGATTTTTAGTGCTCATAATTAAGTTTAAACTAGACCTATTTTATGAAGAATTTATCCAAATAAATGCTAATATTATAAGCTGCATCTTTATAGTCTACTAAAGGCTTTCTCCTGTCATCTACAGTTCCTTTACAGGAATTCAAATAAATTTAGGAAAAGTATATGTAAATAAATATTTATAAAGACTCTATAAATCATAGGTCCAGATGGTTCAAACCAGACAATCCCAATTTCTCACAACCTGGCAGGGAAAGAAATATCTCACATTAGTTTAAAACAAATCTGGTAGCTGACATTAAAAACAACTCTTGGCAGCATTTTTTTTTTTTAATTCAGCACTTGAACTAATGGGATTACAAACGGAGCTGGTAGCAATCTCTAAATTTAGAAATGTCTCACACTTCATTATAAGAAACTGTTTGATTTAATGGCTCTCATATTATTTTCCAATGGGCTCAGTGTACATATTAACACCATACAAAGATAAATGTTCTTGTTCTCATTTGGATTTACCTGTCATTCTGACATTATGCTAGTAAAAAATTCCAATAATTTCAGGCGTGTACTTAAGAATACAAAATATTCACAACAGTTGCCAATGGATATACCATTCCTGGAATATAATATTAATTTGAACACAATAAATGCTAATTGCTGTTTAGAAATAACAATAATTAATTAGAAAATTATTTAATATCACTTCAAACTAGTTCAGTTCAGATACAATGCCAAAGCATGCTTTGTGCAAAGCACTATGTCAAATTGCTTAATTTTTTAGATATGTTAACAAATATTTTTAAATAGGCAGAGTGTAACATGTATCATCTTTGAAATTATTATTTTTCACAGTTAATATTTTTTCAAATAGATGTTTGGATAGATGGAGATAATCTAGTAAGTATTAATTATTAATACAGAGCTTGATATGGTCATAAAACATGAGTAACTTGGTGCTTAAAGGACTTTTCTATACTTGGTTAGTATTATGTTCTTTGTTAACTTCTCTGATTTTCCACACTTTTAAATATTATTGATTCAAAGAAAGATTTATTTTAGCTTTCCAGTATTTTGATATAATAAATTTGGCAGCTAATTGATTACTTATGTCACACATTTATAAGAGAAAAAATGACAATAAAGCCACTCTAGAATTAATTACCCAATGTTGTGTTATTTTTCCAACTTTCTCTAAAATAGGGCTTTTCAACCTTTTCACCCATTGTACCACTTTTAGGATATTGCAACATCCGAGTACCACCAGTCGCCTAGCAAAGTATTAAAAACTTGATGACCAAAAAAAAAAAAAAAGGGAAAAAGTGATAAAGTACAGGTAGTCCTCGACTTACAACAGTTCGCTTAGTGACTGTTCAAAGTTACAATGGCACTGAAAAAAGTGCCCTCCAAGCCACAACCGAGCAAGACACCTGCCTGCCCGCCCGGCCGCACTCTTCCTCCTGTCCGAGGTTTTCATTATTGTGAGCATTTCTGTTGAGGATTGGCAGCAGGGGGGGGGGTGTTTGGTTTTTATTCCCTTTGCCTGCTAGGTGGTTGCAGCAGGTTTTGGTCACTTCACATGACCCTGGGACACTGTGACCGTCATAAATATGAATCAGTTGCCAAGAATTTGAATGTAAATCACAAGACCCTGGAGATGCTGCAACATTCCAGCTGATCGGCGCTTCTTTTGGGCTCAGAAGCGTCAGGATCAGCACCGAGCTCCATCTGGAGCCTGGCGCTGATCCTAGTGCTTCCGCTGAGCCCTGATAGCCCTGCAGCTCCAGCCATCTCTCGCTCAGGCTTGTGGGATGCTGCCACCAGTTCAGCTCATTCCCCTCCCCTGCTACCACTTTGAAAATAATTAAATGTACATTGGCCACAGATTTCACATCTATCAGATTAAATTACAAATTCTCCTACAAAATGTAAAAAACCCACAATTAATATAATACAATTATAAAGATGTAGTTTGATCTAGAAATTTTTTAGTCTTAATGACTTGTCAAAATAGATTAAAAGTTGCTTACATTTTAAATTTAAGAACAAGCAGTGATTTACAAACCTCTTTTCAGTTTCTAAGAAGACTGATAATTAAAAATATGTTACTTTAATACCATTTTAGTTGTTTCCTTATTCAAAAATTAGAATCAAGCCTACATATTAAGACTGTAACAGTTGGGAAAAACTGGCACTTAAGCCAAAAAAAAAAAGAAAAAAAATCCATTTAACTTCTTGTTTTCCATATTAACTGCTAAACAATTTTAAATTGGTGCCATTCCTCCAAAGAAAGTAGGCAAAAGATTTAATTAAGAGATTAGCAAAAACAAATCTTTTTTAATTCTGAAATATCAGATTCCTGGTTTCCTTATACCGTATTTACCCAATTATTTGCCCCAATTTCTCCCAATTATTTGCCAGCTGACGGGAGAGACTTGTACTGTATCACTTAACAGTCAGGAGATTGTTGAAAACAAACAAGTAAGCAGGCGGCACAAGAAACAGTAGCCCTTCCTCATTCTTTTCCCATCAAGCTAGCCTTTCCCTTTCACTCCCTTCATTTCCATCCAGCTTTGCTCATTCCTTTCCTTTTCCTTCCATTGTAAGTATCTTTTCTCATATCACCTCCATTCTATTTTTATTGTTCTTTTGGGTGGGTGGGGGAGGGAAGGGGAATAATAATAATAATATATGTGTGGTGTCTTTGGTGCTTTCTGAGCTTGGATGTTTTCTTGTAGATATTTCAAATTAGATTAACTAGATCTGTGGTGGCGAACCTATGGCATGTGTGCCACAGGTGGCACACAGAGCCCTCTCTGTGAGCACGCATGCTGTCGCCCCAGTCCTAGGCATTCAGCTGGCTTTTATAAAACCTTTTTGCTTTAGGCCTCCACTGCCATGTACAAAAAAAAGGGAGTTCAATCAATCAATCAATCAATTTCAACTTCTCGCAGGAAAAAAAAATATTTCGCAAAGTTGGCATTGATTGATTGAACTTTTTAGTCACACCCAGTCTGGCGTTACCACCTCAGCCACGCCCACCCAATGGGCCACACCCACCCACCACCCGATGATACATAAGTGGGTTTTGGGTTGCAGTTTGGGCACTCGGTCTCTAAAAGGTTCACTATCACTGAATTAGATTAACACTAGACCAACAACCAAGAAGTAAATAATATCCCAATCAAGGAACAACCAGCTCCAAGCTCAAAAAGCACCAGGGACACCAGACATATATTATTAGCTCTCAGTCAAATAAACCAACAATAAACATGATCTCTGAACCATTGAACCATATTTTTCAAAGCACCAGAGATTCTGGAGCACCAAAGATCCTGTAGTATCAGAGGACTGGAAAAGAGCTGATATGGTTCCCATACAGACCAATCGGTCTAACATCAATACCCGGGAAGATCCTGGAAAAGATAATCAAGCAACAGATCTATAAGCAAGCAAAGTTATAACCAGAAGCCAACACAGCTTTGTCAAAAACAGATTGTGCCAAACAAATTTTATAGCAGTGTTCCAATATTTAGGGGGCTGTTATAAAGAAGAGGGGTCAACCTATTTTCTAAAGTAACAGAAGGCAAGACAAGAAACAACAGATGGAAACTAATCAAGGGGAGAAGCAACCTAGAAATTTCTTAACTGTAAGAACAATTAACCAAGGGAAAGGCTTGCCTTCAGAAGTTGTGGGTGCTCCATCACTGGAAGTTTGTAAGAAGAGACTGGACAGCTACTTGACTGGAATGGTATAGGGTCTCCTGCTTGAGCAGTGAGTTGGACTAGAACAACAGTCCCCAACTTTGTGGCTTAGTGGCCCAGCTGGGGGGGGGGGAAACTGGGCCAGGTAAATGGCTGGCCAGTGAGCATGCATGGCTGCACAGCAAGTTGTGGGCCAGTATGCACATATACAGCTCAACTTGCGTGAGCAGTGGGCTGGCCACATAAGTATGAGTGCTTGCTGGCCCGCCGTTCATGCAAATTGAGCTGTGGACATGAGTGCACTGGCCAGCCACTCATACGGCCCAGTACCTAATAGGCATGGCACGGTAGTGGGCTGTGGCCTGGGGACCTCAGACTAGAAGACCTCCAAGGTCCCTTCCAATTCTGTTATTCTGTAAAGGAAATCAAGACCACTCCCTTGAATAATGGCAGGGCAAGCCACTAGTATATAAAGTGAGAGCAAACACACACAAACCAGTCTCTCTCCCCCCCCCTCTCTCTGTGTATTTTAAGCAAGTCCTTTTTTAAAACTATGATGTCAAACAACCATACTGGTACTTATGACCACAACTGAACCCAAAATTTCTGTTGCTAATTGAAACATTTGTTAAGTGAATTTTGCCCCATTTTATGATCTTTTTTGCCACAATTGTTAAGTGAATCATTGCAGTTATTAAGCTAGTAAAATGGTTGTTAAGCGAATCTGACTTTCTCATTGACTTTGTTTGTAAGGCCGCAAAACATGTCACATGATCCCGAGACACAGCAACTGTCATAAATATGGGTCAGTTGCCAACCATGCAAACTTTAAGCACATGACTATGGGGATGCTGGAATGGTTCTAAGTGTGAAAAATGGTCATAAGTCCGTTTTTTCAGTGCTGTTGTAAATTTGAATGATCACTAAACGAACTGTTGTTAAGTCGAGGACTACCTGTGGCACACTTCTGTGAAGCCACCACATGGCCCAGGAACAGTTTGTTGCCTTAATGTGGTCTGCACAGCGCTGCAGCTTTCTTAAGACAGCAAAACACAATTTTCCTCTCCCATGCAGCAGTGACTCAAAAGTGGGCCCCATTTTGGCCCACCTACACAGGGGGAGCCCAAAATGGCACCTGATCCTGGTAGGTTGCTGCACGGCCCAGGGACGAACCATTCCATTTTGCTCCCTTAGGAATTGTGAGCTGCTGAAAATGGTGGCCTAGATACATGTGGCTTGCCTTTATTTTCCAACATGAGCACTGGAGATCTTCAAAAGGTGAGGAGGAAAGTGTGGAGCCTTGGTGTGGTGGGAGTAAAGTCTGAGGTACATGAGGACCTGGTGGAAGGTGAAAAAGTCTGTGGGCACTGTTGGGGGAGGGAAAGGCTTGCAAAGACCCAAGGAATAGGAAGTGCAGCACAAGGTGTCTTGGGGGCTGAAGGTCTTGGAAGGTGCAGGCTGTCCTAGTCCTGCACTAGGCCTCCAGGGGCTTCCCCCACCCAAGGCACCCCATGCACCACTTATCGAACTGCATGTTTAACGGCCACATCAGGAAGAGCAAGGATGGGGGTTGTTATGCCAGGCTCTTGCTTAATAGCTTTCACCATTTTCAACCATAATGTGCACGTTCGATTACTCAAAAGACTACCTGTACGTACATATGTAAAAGGTTCTCACACACTTTATTGGGAAATGGTAAATTTCCAAGTTTTAGCTACAGCTAGCATCCCTAGATAGACAAAAATCTGTTTTCCCCCCTGTATTTCCTTTTGAGGGCATGTTAAATTTAGGGCTATCTTACCTTTAGGAAACATATATGGCTCCTATTTTCAAAGAGGGAAAAGCAAACTATGCAATTGTCAACCTGACATTGATACCTGGGAAGATTCCAGAGTGGCTAAAGAGATTCATCAATAGATTCTTTTAAAACAATGCAACAATCACCAGAAGTCAATGTGGATTTCTCAAGATCAAATCTTGCCAGCATAATCTAAGTTCATTTTTGATTGGGTAGATTCCTTATTAGGTCACGAGCATCTTAAAGATATAATATACCTTGCCTGAAACAAAATGTTTAATAAAGTACTCCATGTCACATTAATTAGCAGACTAATTAAGTATGGGCTGGATGGCATGACAATTAGATACACAGCTGGCCCCAAAATTATATTCAGTACTTACCAGTGGCTCCCATATTAGAGAGGTGTACGGCTAGACCTTGACTTTCAATCACAATTGAGTTCAAAATCTTCATTGCTAAGATAAACTTTGCTTCACTTTATGACATTTCTTGCCACAGTTGTTAAGTGAGTCACTGCAATTATTATGTTAGAAAACAGTTGTTAAGTGAATCTGGCTTCTGCATTGGCTTTGCTTATCAGAAGCTTAATTTAGCCTTAAAAACTGTCTATTTTTTCAGGCACTTTAGAATAATTTAATAAAGACTTGCCTTTTCCCTTTTGCTGCAAGATTAAATTGATAGAGGAATCATTGACAAATATTGCATAGGTTTGTCTTACTGAAATTACATTCTAACTTAATATTCATGGCTGGTAATGTTTCTGGAAAAGTGATAATTTTAAAAGATACTCAACTATATGCTAAAAATTTACAAACTATCAATGTAGATTATGAAAAATTATAGTTTGTTGATAATGAATTATGAAAAAAAAATATTTTGTTATAATGGAAAGATTGTGCCACCCTGGACCTACAATATTTTTGTTTTTTTTCTCTTTGCTGATTTGGCCTGTCAACCAAATAGAATGATTATCATTCTGTTTAGCCAGGATCTTAAAATAAAGCATTTCTGAAACCTGTGCTTTTCCTGACCTTGCACGCCTCAAAACGACATTGCTGTTTCATTCCGAAGGGCCAGGCATGAAATAATGGATTTAAGTTACTAGATTTCGACAGAATGTTAGAAAAATCTAACAGGAAGAGCAACTCCTCAGAAATGATAAGTTCCCCTTTATCGGACATGTTGAAGCCACATAGGATGCTTTAATTTGGATTCCTGCACTGAGCAGAGAGCTGAACTTGAAGGCTTAAATGGCTCCTTCCAAATAATAAAAATACTTTTGTATAAGTTTTATTTTTAGCTATTAAATTACAATTTGGAGTAACCAATCTGAAGCAATAGAAAGGCAGTAAGTATTCTATCCAAAGGTTTTCGACTCCGGCAGTTAACATCCTTTAATGTTCATAGCTGACACAGCACTTTCAGGATCCATTCAATTTGCCCATAATTTACAATTCCCTGTTAAAATGTGTTCAAGATTGACTACTATTTTAAAAATATGATTCTACGATTAAAATAACATTTATGCTTTCAAATAGGCATTTTTTAACACAGGAGTACAGGCAGGCTGGGTATATGTTTTCACAAGCAAAAGAATATTTTCTAGCCTGGTTAATTTGCATCAGCCCCAAATTACAATATGTACAAATTTCAATCATCAAACTGTTTTTGCATGGGAAATATGTTCTGTGGTACAGTTTAATCTAATAAGCATGCAGCAGTAGGAAGCATTTATTCCTCAATATGTTCAGAAAACAGTAGCAGCTTTTATGAAGGCCTGTTATAGAAAAGGAGCAAAATATTGGAGTTATAAATGGTCAAATATGAGCATTTCTTCAGATGCAAGAGGACTGGATCTGACATCTTATTTTAAGACACAAAGTAAATTGTATGTTAATGTAACCTTATCTTTAATTTTAGATTAATCACATTTGAAGTTAATGATGAAAGCAATTCCACATCATGCCTACTTTCCAAAAAAGGATTAAAATAAGTATAAAATGTCTGAAGCATTTCAATTAATCATAAAACCCAAATATTAAGAACTTGTATTAAGAATTTATGTGAGTTATCTTGTTTTCCTTTCCCTTCTGTTGTTATTTGGAGATGAGATTTGTTTGAAAGCAATAATTATATTTTTTATTGATCTCACAGGTGCTTTGAAAGCATTTTAGCTGACGGAAAACACATAGATATATTAAGTACATAAACCCCAACTACTTCAAAACTATTATTTTCAAATATACAGCCTAGATGTCATCTGTCCATAGCTTCAATTTGAAAATGTTGTCTTTTAGCAAATTCTGCCTATCTCTACCAGAGAAAAAAACCCAATATTAAATGAAACAGATAAATATATAATTTCCTATTTATTGTACTTTCTAGTTTATGTTTCCAAGTTTAAACTTTTTAATATGAACTATTAATATTTTAAATACATTACCTTATGGACAAATAACTTACACATTTCACAAGGATAAAAGATTTAATTGCGTGTGAAGAAAGTACATACTTTGAAAAGGCAGTCACTTCAATTTTAACTTAAAGCACTATAACAAGCGTTTATCAACACCTAAAGAAATAAAACCAAAATAAAAACAATGCACCTCAATTATTAACTAATAACTTCATGTTGAGAAAAATAGCAATATTTCAAGCTGAAATTGCTCATATTAATAATTATAGATCTATAAGTCCTAAATAATTCCCAAACAATGAAGTGTTCATATTAAATATTTACATATATTCTTAAATATTGCAGCCAAGTTCCTGATGGAAGATTTTTAGACAACCCCCCCAGTAAACTTATACAAAATTTTCAAATCCAAGTCCCTATGTAGACATAAATAAATATAATGGATTTCGCCATACTGTGACTTCCTTCATATAGAAAGTATACCATTAGTTGTATATCATTTCAAACGATTTTGGTGCAATAGCTGAAAACAGTGTTATTTGCCTATTCTTTGGACTACCCAGTCCTGCTGGCAGAGAGGGCAACGGTTGTTCTGTTTCACCCATAGCGACATGCAGCAATTGTGGAAGGAATGATTACACTCTCCCCAGACCACTAAAAGAAAAAGAAAAGCAACTTGAGACAATATGTTATTCAAAGTGTAAACCCTGCTCTTAACATTATACATTCCTAAATTTAAAAAAAATACTGAGTAGAGATGCAGAACTTTTCATAGTCCTACATATCCTACAGTATTGTACAATATATTTGAGCAGTTAATATGTATGAACTGCATACATAGTGTCCCTAAGTCTTCATGGACTTTAGCATTCACCTTTTCTGCTCCTTTCTCTATGACTAGAACAAAGAACAAACCATGATTCCATTCATTTTTCAGATTATTGGATTCTTATAAAGCATCAATGGTTTGTTTAAAGAAAGTTCTAACTAGTTAAATATGTCATTCATGTAAGTGCCGATACTTTGTTTCCTAATAAAATGTTCTTTAAGCAAGAATTCTTGCCTTGGAGTTCTTTTACTGGTTTCATCTATTGGAACCATGACACATGTCTTATTTAGTAATATATATATATTTTAAAGAATGCTTTTTTTTGTAAATTGCCAAAGTGTAAGGCATCAAAATCCAATGTTTCAGTCATTAGAAAAATATGTATGTATAGCAGTTACAATCTATGAGTTCTACATTATGAGTCCTGCACAATTAAGGTTTCCACTTCTGGGTAAGACTGTAGCATTAGTAAATAATTTCTCCATTAACACAGGAAGTGTGGGAGAAAGGGAAAGAGCACCATGCATCTTTTGGTCTTCTTCACATATTATTATTTTTACATCTGCATACATTTAGTATGCATGCCATACTAAATCTTTACATGTGGATTTTTTATCAGATCTATTGGCTATCCAATTACATTGTAGGAACACTCTAGACTTGTTTTCAAACTCCCCCAAATCTATGAATGAGTATCTTTCAAGTGTACTACCATAAATTAAGCACTGATAAGGAATCAATTTCAGTGGGAAAACATTAAGTGTATATAAGAACCTAACAGTTATTTTAATTTAAATTCGGCAGTTCCATATTTTAAATGTTCCACCTATGATTCATATAAATGATTCTGAATAAACATCCTCTCCAAATCCTGAAACTTCCTTCAGACATAGAAAATAAGTTATGAAATCAAATTATTCTGTTTTGTTTAAAATGATGCTTAACTGTTTCAACAAAACTTTTTAAAAACAAAAAAACAGATTATAGGAAAGAAGTAGCAACTATTATTTTTCTAATTAAATACTAATGCAACTAGCTTTGTATCAATACAGATTAACCTAATATTTCTAAGTGTTTTTTTACAATATGTTCAAGAGACACTTTACTAAATCTTTGCTTGAAGTTTTAAAAAAGCCCCCACTAAGATAAAGCCTTTTAGTGAATAACAAAGAAAGCACCCAAAAACATACCAACGCAATCTTCTTGTTTGTTTTCAGCTTGACATCTAAGACAGGCATCTAGATGTAAACAAGAACAAGACTGTTATATTTTAGATGCAACATTAGTAAGCAGCTTTCTAAATAATCTACAATTCACTAAAAACATTTACAGAGTATGGAGACTATATTATGAAGTGATTTATAACCTAATTCACCCTAAATCATGCCCTTCTATTCACCTAACTTCATCTATGTTATGAATCTTACTTTCAATTAAATTGCAGATAGCTTTTAAAAACTAGCATAATTACATATAAACTATATAAAATTATATAAAAACTAGTATATTATAATTTAGTATATTAAAATTTAATATAATTATATATTTGATAAACTGCATGTCCCTTATGCTTCAAAAATGACATAGCATAATTCTCTTTTTAATAGGATGTGGGGTGTTACTAAAGATTTATGAATGATCAAATTAGGGCAGTTACAAGATAATATAAAAGTGTTATTAAAGCAAACGAAAGTATGTGGCTTTCCTTTATTTTTACCGACAGGTTTATAAAAAGAAATATACTATGTGCCTAATAATACTTAATTTTATGCCAATTCTTGGTATATGCCAAATGATACTTGGTATCACTTCCCAAAGTGCCATGCATTAAATATATCGGAGCAATACATACACCTGTGGTGCACACAAATATATAATAAGATTAATTATGCAGGAAACCATACATGTCAGATTACTTAAATTCATCCTAAAGACAAAAAATGTGACTTTTGACACTGGAGTATTGATTTGTGTGATCCAAGCAACCTGATAAGCCTTTTCCAAATTTTATTAAAAGGCATATATTTTGTGAGTTGCAGTCACTTCCTGTATATAAAATAATATGGTTTTTAATAACCATAGTAAGACTTGGAAAAGGCTTACTATAAATTAACACAGCTTTTCTCCTACAATGAAACTGAACAGTATCAACCAGCTATATAATTTGGATATTTTTTGACATTCCTAAAAGATCAGCATATGCTAGTGAAAAGAAATAACTAAGATACCTATCACATTGTACTCTGACCAAAGACTTAGCTGTTTGAATTACTCAGTACACGTAAATTCACACTATCAATATTTAATTGACTTGCAATTTAATGAATTAATCAATTTTTTATATAGTGTGAAAGACTGAGCCATAAACTAATCATACAAATTGGATCCCCACCGCATAGTTTGAGGTGTGATGCAAATGTAGCTATATGCTCAAACCATGTTACTACCATCTTCTTATGCTTTTATAGGAACAGAAAAAGTTTACACATCCATGAGGAATACTGTAGAAGACTAACATGAAAATACATACAGCAAGCAGATCCAGTTTGGTTTACATGAATTGAGCACTGCAGCTGTGAATTCTACAATTTCAGCTGCTGTGTATTAAAAATATATTTGAAGCCTATCCTCATTATTTTTATGTTCGTTTCATATGCAGATTTACTGTGAATCATAGGCTATAAAACACCTCTTAAAGCGTTTTGTTACATGAATAAATAATATTAACTGTGGGCTTCCTGAAAATGCCTCTATTAGGGGCTTACTAAAGATCCAGCTAAATCCAGTACCTAGGAAGGATATCTCAATACTTCTTTTTTTTTTTTTTTAAAGAGGTGGGGATTGGCATCATTGGTTTACAATGTTTCTAAGTTACCTCTTGAACGCAGGAACCTTGTGCTATGTTGGATAGGAAATAATTTCCCAATCCGAAATATCTAATTGTATACATCCCACGAAATGATATCAGAAGGCATAACGATGGCCCAAACGTAGCCTGGCTTTTCTGCCAGTTACACTAAATTGAGGAGAAAGGGGACACGACGAAAGAGTACAGCAAGAAGAAGAGACAATCCGGGAAGGCAAGCAGCCTGGAAAGGACATGCCCACCGACCCCTTCGAACTAAGACTGCGTGTCCACAGCGCCTGCCGGCGCCCGAAGGCCTCCTTCATTAATGCCGGGGAAGGGCCGCTCAATCGTCGACTCCAAACCACGGAAGAGTACCGGGGAAGGTGGAGGAGAATGCGGCGACGCGGTCTTGGCCCCGGCGCGGCCCATTCCCGTTCCAGGAGAGCATAGTGGAGATGCGGCCTTCCTTTCCGACCGAGCCTGCCTGCCGCCACTCCGCTTACCCATGACCTGCACCCGGCAGATGGCGCAGGTGTCGCACTCGACATCCCAGCTCCACATGGCCACGGCGTTCCACTTCTTCAGCGAGAACATTTTGTCGGCGCCGCCAGCTTTGGCGCCGGAAGAACCCGAGTGAGTAGTAGAAATGCCGGGCTCGTCTCCGTCCTCCACGTCGGCCATGGCTGGGGGCGGGAGGAGGCGGTGGCGAAGGCGGCTTGGCTGCCCCGCCCGGCTCCTCCGGCGCAGCTCCGCCCCCCCTCCCCGCGGCAGCCCGAGGAGTCCCAGACCACCAAGCGGGCAACGTTGAGCTCGGCGATAGGAGAGTCTGCGAGGCGTGATTTGCTTTAGAAAAACAAGGGTTTAAAGGCGACTTAAACGTAGCGGCGTGAGGTCTGGATGAGATTAAGTTAGCATTCTTAAACTATGGCGATAGCGATGTGGATTTGCAGCGCTAACGCGGGGCTGTTCAGTTGAATGTGGTCACTTAAGATCCATTTGAGGTGCTGTGCTTTTGCCCACAAATAAGTAGCTTTGGATCATCTTCAATAAACAAATGAATAAGTAAAGCTTTAGATTTCATTGTTCAAATTAGGTTCCCTTTATCTAATTTTAGCATTTGTGTAGAGAACAGTTTACATTTTAGGATCGCTTTATGCAGAAATATTGACCATACAAGAGTTCACAAACTTTTAAGCAACAGTCATGCAAGAGAAGAAAATGAATGCTTTTGTCATTAAACTTGCAAGCAGGATTCAAATTCCAGTTCCCCAAGCCAAGAGTGGCATCTTCTGAAGAATAGTAGCACGGTAGTAGTTTCAATCAGACATTTCTCTGAAGTAGCAGCCTGAGTGCACATCTCTTGTTCAATATGGTAGTTTGTCATTGTTTTTACTGTTTATGAGAATTGGACACTCTTGTGATAACTGTTCTCCATCTGATGCAATCCTTGCAAAAGGGGAGCATTCCCTTGACGAATAAGGGATCTAGTGGGCATACATATGTTCCTCCATTTCCAAAATACTGTTATTTGGTGAAACATGCTAGCAATAGCACTTAGACTTATATACTGCTCCATAGTGTTTTCCAGCATTTTCTGAATGGTTTGCAATGTCAGCATATTTGCCCCTAACAATCTGGGGCCTGGTTTTACCAACCTCAGAAGGATGGAAGGCTGAGTCAACCTTGAGCCCATCAGGATCAAATTCCAGACTGTGGGCAGGGTGAGCCTGCAATACCGCATTCTAACTACTGCCCCACAATGGCTCCTACACCAGAATTATGGCTTCTAGGCACCAGGGTTGCTAGACCAGAATTATGATCAGTAGGCATGACTATATCCCTGAATTTCTTAGTGAATGAATATGAAACTCTTTTCCTCTGCCTGGTAGATTTTCAGAGTCTTTTAAGGTACTGCCAGTGGACTGATCCACTGTTACCATCTTCTTTTTCACTGTAGGCTCAGCAGAAAATCTTTATACTACACTGAAATTCCTTTTAAAAAAATGTGTGGAATTTTATGTCCTTTTATACTGTATGGATAACAGACCATTCTCAATAAATGATTCTAGAATTATTTTCCCTTTCTTGCACGCAGCCACAAAAATTCCAGGCTCATCAGCTATCATTCCTAACCTAATTCAGAGGAATGCATGAGGTCTCCTTTATGTTTTGTGTTGGAGAAGAAGAGTCACTTGAGTTCCAACCATTTGCATTAATGTTTTGTGAAACTTTTGCTGCCCAAGATAATAATGAGAACTCCCCATAGTCATGTTTATATAGAAACAAAAAGAGTGCAAAACGTTCATGCATGGATAATAGTTCTAATTCTAGGAACATGCAAGAATTTCACACATCTAACATTACAGTTCTTTAGGTAGAAATTCTACAACCACCAGTTGAAGAAATTAATGCCTACTTTTGTCCACTGAGATCTTGCCAAACGATTATGAAAGTGATAGAGATGAATAAAAAAGAGCAATTCTACTAAACCTTTAGCATCGTTTCATCCCTAGGTACATAATTATGATTCACTTAAATATCACTAAGAATCATATTAAAAACTTAACTTGGATGAAATTTCTGTATACCAGTATACTAGGTAGTGGATACAAACATCCAAATTCCATCAGGGATGTATTCAGATGTGTGGTACATAGTTTCATAATATCCGGCAAACATACTAATATTTAGATGCATATTAATTTCAACTAAAAGTAAATTAAAGCTGTGAGAGCCAGATTGGTGCAGTGATTAAGTCATTAGGCTAGAAACTGGGAGACTGGGAGTTTTAGTCCTGCCTTAGGCACAGAGCCATCTAGAAAGGAAGCAATGGCAAGCCACTTCTGCAAAACTTTTGTCAAGAAAGGACAGGGGCTTGTCCATGCAGTCTCCAAGAATCAGATACAATTGAACAGAAAAAAAGTTAACAAGATTCCAGTGAGACTTTTTAAATGTGATGTGGTCTTTATACCAGAATAAAATAATTTCATCAAAGCATTTTCAATTGTCCTGATTGTATTCCTAGCAATTCAGTAGGATCTAATATAGTGGACATATTCTGAGTCCCTTTGGTTAAGGACTGCTATGTTGTAGAATCGAGAGGCATGCCTTCTCTGGCGCCATGCTTGCCCTTTGGAATTTCATTCCTCCAGAGTTCCATTTAACCTCAACTTTGCACTGCTTTAGAAAGGCTTTGAAAAAATGGTTTTTGAATAATTGACTCAATTGGCTGAGGTTTTTTGTGATCTCACTGAGTGATGAAGTATGACTGAAACTGTATATTTTCATGGCCTTGTTTAATCTTTACACCTTTTCCATTCTGTAGTCTTCAAGAAACAACAGGCCACTTAATGACCATAGTCCACATAACATAACAGAATGTTAATGCACCAAAGACCAGTGGCAATTTATAAAAATGAAGTAGATAAAAACTTGTACAATATTTACTAAAAATGAGAAAATAGAGAATTTTTAATATGTGCAAATGGTGATGAAAAGGCAGTGAGTTTAATCTGTTCTGTTATGGGAAATGATTTTTTGTCAAAAGCCTTGAAAAGACCTTCCTGTGTCCATTTTATTATTTGGAAGTGAAAATTTGGAATGTCATGAAAACAACAGGTTAAATACATTGGGAATGGGTTACTTAAGTGTGGGAATATAAGAAGAGAGGATGAAAAATGAAGTTGTGAAGAAATGTATTTCTTGTAGACTGAATGCAAAAGTGAGCAAACAATAAGAAAGAAATACATTGAGATGGCTTGAATGTATGCTGGGTTTTTTCCATCAACATTTTCTTGAGATAGCTGGCTTCTTAGGAGTCCATTTCATTATCTGGTTTTGGACAAAATTGAAAGTTCTATTCTTTACCTATCCCCACAAATGCTTGAAAGTGGCAGGGACTTATTACAGTGAAAGTAAATGACCCATACTGTGTGGTTGTCCCTCACTTAAGTAGAGAAGAGCATTTTGAAAATGTGAATCTAGTTTGATCTATATTTTTAAAGTATTCTCTATCTAAACTGCGGGGGAGGGGATTGCAATGAAAACATAGGCCTTTCTCCCCTCCTATTTATAACACTTGCCGGGAGAAGTCATCTGGTGACATGGGTATCAGTATTATCAGTATTCTGATTGTTTTTCTTGAAGTATATATGGCTTGAGCTTGTTGTAAGATTTAAATTATTCACTGCTATGCAAAAATAGAGTTGAAATGTATGCATTAGTTGCCATGGCTATCATACAGATAAGAGCAGGGCTTCATTATTAGACACAATTTTTGCCAAAGATTCAAAACTCACAAATAATTTGTTTTATATATTTTAATTCTTAAATGATTGTTAATGAAATTGTTGAACATTTCATGGATTTAGTATCAGATCCTAGAGTTCTCCAATCAGAGGAAATGTACTTGAAATCTAAAGGGTAGCAAATTATAAAGCACTGTCCTTGTGCACAATAAGTAAATCTATACTTCTAATCTCTTAGGGGGAGCTCGAACAGCATTCTTCAAAATGAAAAAGGTCTTCTGCAGTGACAATATAAGCCTAAGACTGAAAATCAGGCTTGTCAGATGCTATATTTTTTCTATCCTGCTCTATGGAGTAGAGTTGGTCTCTGACAGAAAGCCACCTGAAGAGACTAGAAGCATTTGAAATGCGGATTTACAGGCAGATGTTATGTATAAGCTGGGTTGACAAGATCAGAAATGAGGTGATAAGCCGCCTGGGAAAGCCAAGGGAAATCATCAAAACAATTAAAAAATGAAAGTTAGAATGTTTCGGACATGTGATGCGACACCCAGAAAAATACGGCACACTCCATTTAATCCTCCAAGGAAAGATTGAAGGCAAACGAGGTCCAGGCAGAAGAACATTGTGGCTTCAAAATCTAAGGGACTGGTTTGGACAAAACTCAGCAGCACTTTTTCGTGCGGCTGCTGATAAAAACAGGATCGCCAACATGATCGCCAACGTCCCATAACGGATATGGCACAAGAAGAAGAAAATACTTCTAATATAATTTTTTAATTCAAAAATAATTTACATGAGTGAACAATTAGTTTCAAGGATGAGGTAAATTGAGCAATTGATGTACTTTTCTTATCCAAGGCTATTTGTATACTAAGCTATAAGCCATAGAAAATCTCACAAGACCATTTTAAACCAACTTAATCTCATCCTCCTTAGACAGTATGGCTCTTGGCTGAAAATAGTTGCCTGTTCAGGTTACTTTGTTATATTTGGACAAGTCTTCTTCCCCTTTAAGCTACAAATAAAATAGATTTCTACTGTAACAACTTTATATTTTCCCTCTGTGCAAGTCCCCTCAAATATTTTAAAGTTTTAGTTTCTTTGGTGTCTTTCCCTTACAGTTTTTTGAATGACCACAAACAATCTGGAATTCAATTATAATCTGTAGCCTTCAATAACTCCCAAAAACAACTATATATGGTGAGATGAAATCGAGTACATAGAGCAAGGCTTTTCAACTAGTGGTACGGGTACCACCTGTGGTATATTGGCAGGTGGTACGTGACCCTCCTAGAAAAGTGGTAGCGGGGGAGGGGAATGAGCTGAACTGCACCGCACAAGCCTGAGCGAGAGTTGGCTGGAGCTGAAGGGCTGTCAGGGCTCAGCAGAAGCGCCAGGATCAGCGCCAGGCTCCAGGTGGAGCTTGGCGCTGATCCTGGCACTTCTGCTGAGCCCAGAAGCGCCAATCAGCTGGAATGTTGCAGCATCTCCAGGGTCTTGTGATTTACATTCAGATGCTTGGCAACTGATTCATATTTATGATGGTCACAGTATCCCAGCGTCATACGAAGTGACCAAAACCTGCTGCAACCACCCAGCAGACGGGGGAAATAAAAAACAAACACCACCCACCCCACCCCCACTGCCAATCAACAGAAATGCTCACAGCAATGAAAACCTCGGACAGGAGGAAAAGCGCCGCCTTCATGAAGTTTCAGATTGTGCACTGAACCTTATGTACAATAGTTTCAGGAATAATTAACACCACCACCAATTTGATAGCCCCGTCAACTCTTGGGACAGACTATACCAGGGGTTCTCAACCTGTGGGTCAGGACCCCATTTGGAGTCAAACGACCATTTCATGGGGGTCGCCAAACAACGCAGTCCGCCATTTTTTCCCCTTTTCCCTAGCTGTCCTACTCCCTCTTATTGGTGGCCACACCCACTTGGGGGTCACCACAACATGGGGAACTGTTTTATGGGGTCATGGCATGAGAAAGGTTGAGAACCACTGGACTATACCGACATTTTGGGAAACTATGATGTAGAGGATGGAAGTGATAAAAAAATTCTTGTTTATGACAAGTTATCCAAGTATATATACTTGAAATAGGCTTTCATATCCCGTTATCCATCCAGCTAGAGCCATCTGAACATGCAAATATTTGCACTGATTGGAAGATGTTTTAGATCAGTGAAAATATTAAAATTAAAAAGCCAAATATTCCAGTATGTGAATGTTAATTAACAAATTGAACCAAATTTAATAAACCACTGAGCAAGTAGTTTGTCAAAGGGTAAAGGTTAAATGGTGATATTTGATGCTCTTGTTGAAATAAATGGTAATTGGCCTCACATGGTGACATGCTGCTTTAACATTACAACAGAATTCTGTACATGAAAGTAATCGACAAGATAACTATGAGCATAGGACTGTGTACTAGGAGAGCAATAACTATATTATTCCCCTGAACTCGAGATGTACCTAATGAGATCCTTGTCTAATTAAATAAGTACTATTTATTGCAATAGGAACTCTTTAAATCACATACATCTTCGATGTTGCTGAGCATTTCCAATAATGAGATATAATTTTCTGAGCCCGAATTTAAAAACGGTGTTTCTTAAATTGATGTTTGTAAATGTGGTAAAATTGATCATGTTTGTATCATACTGGTATATGAACACTGCAAATCTCAAATATTTATCTTATCTCTTCCTTTATATTAGTAAGAATATAAGTTCTAAAACAATAATTTTGAAGGTATGTATTTTGTTAAAGAAATAAGTGTTTACTTTGCACTTGTCAATTATTACTTGTGCAAAATCGTATCTGTTTTAAAGCAATTCTGATGGTTTCAACAAATACAATCCCAATTTCATTTACATTTTATGTACTTAAGAAATGAACTACTAAAATAACGTGCAATAAACAAGTTTCAAACAATTCTGCTATACTTTAATACTTTAAGAAAATAAACTTTAAATAAAACATACTATATATTCCATCATTAATATTCAATATACCATCATTAACATATTTAAATACACTGTTAAATTTACATTGTTAACCAAAGCTAAGTAGTGAACAGATACTACTCAGGATTATTTCAAATAAAAACACCTTTCAATATTTACCTATTTGTACAAAATGTAATAATGTAGGACTCTCTACTGCATAGGAAATATACAATTGACAAAAAGAATTGCATGGGCAGGTCTAGAATTATCTCTGGCACTTGGTTATGTTTCCATCAACACTGATATGGTATATAGAAATTTAAATTAATTCAGTGCTGCTATGTTGATTTTTACCGCCTCAAAATTTTATTGGCACAATATAGTACCTTGTTTTGAAAGTGCTTTTATTCCTGTAATAGTTATAAATCTAGTTTGCCAAATGAACATAATTGTCAAATGAAAATAATTATTGAATGTGATTTAAGACTTTCTGGGCCAGTAAGGCCAAATTGATATTTGTAAAAGATTAATGTGAACCCTGTGAGTTAAAATTGGAATGAAGACTTTAAGGACACTATGCTTCAGATGCTATTGCTGTGCACCCATCCCTGAGAGAACAAGCAGATAGCCCAAGGAAGTCCTTTAATACAAAAAAGGTATCATACAAAAATAAAGATAGTGTACATTATTTGCTCAAAAAAACCCCAAACCCTTGTCAATTTGCAATCAGGAATTCTGATAAGGAGGAAAAAATGAATAACTGTATGATATGTGTGCTAGACTCTGTGAATAGTGGGCAATACATTGCAATCCAAATACAAAATAAATGTTTCATCTAACACTATATTAAAACTATGATAAAAAGTCTGATGTTTTCCCTTTCCCTGTTCCAATTCAATTTAAAATAACTTGCTTACAAATTTTATTTCAGAGGAGAGAATTTTGGTGAAATTCACTTAGGCAAAAAGTGTTGTTTTCATACCTATTTAGTCATGATGGTCACAGGGTATCTGTGAATGCCCTGTCCTTCACTGTATAAGGATCTCTCCAGCATTTTGCAGCTTACTAAGAGATTGGAATTTATGGACAACCAGGGAGGATTAACTGCAATGCTGCAATGCTAATTGCAAAATAGAAAACAGTTTTTGCAAACTATAATCTGAAATCTAAAAAAAAAGTCCAGGAAAAATAAACACAAAATAAATCCTCAAATTCAGTAAGATAGAAAATTAAATCATTTGCAAGGGGAAAATATTCATTAACGCTAAGGCTGATTCAGCACAAAGTTAATATATGAACCTATCCACAAGCATGAAGCTTGCATAAAGCCCAAAAATCAATCATGATTTTGGTAGGATAAAACTATTTCTCAAGACAATTATTTATAATCTGACTTATATTTTACAAGGCAGTTTGCAAGCAGTTATCAAAAAGCATAAATAAAAAAGCAAATAAATAATTGTAAAAAAAAGATTCTGGTATCCTTCCTACAGGGCAGTTGGTTAGTGGAACTAAACTTCTGGTAGAAGATGATAAAAGAGAGCAGAGTCCAGTTGGAGGATGTCTTGAGAGTATCTTCATGGTCCTTTCTCTTCATCTCTATCTCTCTAGAAATCATTCCCAATGATGCCCTCAACAATTACTTCATAAAGCTGATAATATAGATGTAGGCAACAATGCCCAAACTAACAGAGTTTTATTTTCTTTATTGATAAGTATTATAAATGGACCATCTTTTAATACTATTTGCAGAATGAAATCCTCAATACTAAATGTCATGCTTTCTGAAACAGTATTGGTATATTCCCTGCAAGTCGTATTATAACAAAAGGGAATAGCTGTGATTGGAAAACAAAAGGATTACGTGGAATGAATACCAAAAGTATTAAGAATTGAGTAGCATCTTACAATTATGTGGTTACTAAAATCCCACAAATAGAGCCTACTGCAATTAATATTAGAACTGAATGACAAAGTGATGATCAAATGAAGTAATGCTATAATTCAGCATATAAGCAAATATTTCAAATTTGTAACTACAGACTGATTGCCTAAAAGTCTCCAGATAATATAATTCAATCATATATATTGATGGTCAATAGTTAGCTATGCTCTTAGATTGTCAAATGGTCATCTTCCACACCTGTCTACAGGATTGAAGAAACCCTAACATAAATATATGAACATTTTTAGACAAATACTTAGGGGGGAAATCAACTTAGCCTCTCCCATACACTAAAAAACAACAGCATATTAGCTATTTGAGGTGGAAATAGCTTAGCAGCTAGCTGGTTGAGCTTCTGTACACAATATTCCTGTATGACAATTACACAGAAAAAAATCTAATTAAAAAATCCTGCTAAACAGAGAGACAAAATGCAGTTCTAAAGCTTGTAAATTATTTCCATTTATTATTCAAATGCTAGATTTTTCAGAACAAAATAAAGCTTTCATTTCTATTGTCTATATATTTTAATAGAGCAATCTTAAATTGATGTTATAGGAGTAATCCAGGCCGGAGGAATTCACATTTACTTGTACCCTATTGATCTGGCATAACCCAGGAAGGAAATAATGTTTTTCTTACTGTCAAATGCTGTAAACAGGTATAAAATAGCTCTTGGGCTGATAGTTACAAATCTAGAAGATTTTTGGCTGACCCATAGCTGTTTCCTATTTGACAGTCTAGAAACAAAAAGAAAGCCTGAATTTATGTGGGCGAATCTCTAATTTTTCCAGACATGGATGATAAGATTCATAGTTATCTGTGAAAATGTAATACTTCATCAAGGATCCACTTTCTTTTTTAAACTCAAAGATTATTTATCTCCATGTTTAAATTATGTATAAAATTGATATTTTTCATATTTTTCTTATACTAAAACATAATGCGGTTTCCAAATATATTAAAGTATATTAATTAATATATATATGCATAGTAATGAAAGCATATTTTAATGCTCATAATTTTAAGGAAAACAATCAAGATTGATTTGATCCTGGACAGATCAGAGGTAATTACTGCAGTGGTTTATGGTAGATTAGAAGCTGTTGTGTACTTTCTGTGTGTGAAATACAAGAATATATTGTTAAAAGAAGACTTTGAAGTTTAGTTTTGTTGTGGGGTTTACCTGATAACTTTTCTTATGGTAAACAGATAGTAGATCAAATTAGTTGGGCAAATAGAGCTGTAGAAGTTTATAAACTCGTAGACCTATTTTGCAAGGGGGAAAGTATATTTATCAGTAATCAACTGTGTGTGTGTGTGTATGTATGTATGTATGTATGTATGTATGTATGTGTATATATATGTATATATATGTATGTTTTTTAATGCACTTTTTTGTCTTGTTTAGTGCTTTGTTGTTGTTCCCTTTTCTCTGTGGGAATTTGTATTTTAATTTTGGAAATAAAATTTATTAAAGGAACGGAAGCAAAGTTTTTCTGATATTTTGCATAAAAGACGTTCAGGCTGTAACGTAGGTGACTACATAGACACAATTTTCTTTTTTAAATCCTCTACATTACACTTGTATTTTGCTTTGCATTTACCAGTTATAATTTGTGATAATGATTTTTCTAGGTTTATATCTCTTTTATTATACAATCTGTGCCATTCATTCTGTCACTAAATTATTAGTTTCCCTTACATTTTACCCAAAATGCACAATCCGCATTGATAGATTTATATATCCAGTGAGCTTGTTTGTTTTAATAGGTTTTTGTATGCCTCATACAAAAGTATTAAAAACATTTAATGATAAGGCATGGATACCAACTATTGGGAAAAAGAAGTTCTATTTAGGTGCATTTAATTTAAAGGTTAGTCCAGTCTTAGGATCAGAATATTTACTTTAATGGCAAGCTTTCTTATTTTGCTAGCATAATACCATTACAATCATGTAGTATTTGAGCCAGTTTTATCTTTTAAATGTCCTTATTTTAGATTTCTATTAGACAATGAAAGCAATCTTAATGAGTGGAGACAAATAGTAGTAAACCAGGAGTATTAAAAGGTAAGGAGACCAATAAACAGAAAATCATGAATGTTACTTCAGTGGAAATTCACTAGTTTTTATAGTGCTTAATAAATTGCTCCCAAGGCCAGTCTTCTGTAGTACCACATTCAGTAAAGAAAAGGTAAAGTCTCTTTTGAGTTAAGCTTGACTTCTGATGACTTCATATAATACTCATTTTAAAAACTTAGCCTTTTCCTCTCCCAAGAGTTTGTTCATATTTATTACATATCAGTTTTTAATCAGTTTATAGGTACAAATACAACAAGGAAAGATTAAGAGTTCTAAAAGTAAAGCTTAGTTCAAAACTTTACTTGGCAAGTAAAAAATATCCTAGATATAAAATTTCATAAAATATGGTTTTAAGCCACAGTAGTGATCATTCAACTGATCATAATGATTAGACACTATAAAGTATCTAGAATTATAATCTGGGATTAACCAGATATGTAAAGTGCTTGGAGTGATTTTCAAAAACAGCTAGTTACAATTGGGTATGGCAATGTTCACTGTATACCATGTACCTTTAGGCATTTTTTTAAAAAAATATTACTAATGATATGCCACATGGTATTCAGCTATCGTATTATCTGAACAGCATACATTCTCCTCCCAAACCCAATCACTAAAAATACTAACAATGTGTTATTTCAAAAAGAAAAACCAATGATTCCACATCACATCTTTCACTATTCACTCCAACTGTAAACAAGACATATAAATTCCCTGACTTGTCCTGCTTCAGTGATACTGCTTAAATAACATATCTTTGCTAATTATCAATGCACATTTTGAAAAAGTACCATCATTTTGTTCCTTTTTTTTTTTTGAAAAGCAACATTTCTACTGTAGGTTAAGAAAGGAAGCTTTAAAAGTGACTGTGCGCTGAATGTAAAGCTTCAAATCCTTTTGTCACCTGTCAGAATTTCTTTGTCCAGATAATAGTGATAGTCACAGAAGCTGATGATTATCCTGGCAGATAAAATCCCAACTGAAGGTGGTAGTTGTTTTTTTCCTTAGAAAGCTTATTTCTTTAGAAGATCTTCCCAACTTTAGATACCTTATTTAATTTTTTTGTATGTTAAGTTCTTTAAACAATATGCATACCTTTTCCCTTATCCCTGCAGAAATCTGATTCGACACTGTTCTTTCCACTGTTAAATATTAAATAAACTTATGAATGCAGCTAATTTGCAGGAAATGCATATTCTTAAATTCATGGAATAATCACAAAACCAGTTTGTTTTGTGAGTGAAAATTAATCCAATTCCTTTCTTTCAAAATCTCTGTTGAAGTGCCTTTGATTAGGAAATTTTTCCAACAATTGGATTTTCTCTACAAAAGACAAAAAAAGAACTGTATTTAACTATTTGTTAGAAACTGCAAGTTAAAAATTATTTTTCACTTACAATTAGTGCTGTATTTTCTGACAATAATAAATTTTCAATTTTACTGATCACCACTGAGCAGACTTAAATCCACCTGAATATTTTCCACAAATAAAGGAAACTGCATTTGCATAATCTGGATGAGGAAGTTAAATTTACTTCAGTCCTATCTTAATTTTATAAAACCTGAGGCAGTTTATATAATTTGCATAATGACATCCCTATAGAAAGGAGAAAACAAGTTCAAAGAATGTATTTTCACATTTAACAGTTAGAAATATTGAATATTTCCTCTCCCAATCAGTCCATTAAATCAAGGTTTTACTGTATTAAGATTTGCAGAATGAAGGATATGTTCTTAACTGCCCATCTCCCTCAGAGATAATTCCATGTTCTATACAAGCTAGTGTGAGTGGGGGTGAGTGCATGCACACACACACACGCACTAGCCAGCCACTCACGTGGCCCGCTGGCCAAGAGGCTACGGCCCAGTAGTGGGCTGTGGCCCACAGCTTGGGGACCCCTGCATTAGATGACTAAGTGGTCACAGAATTACATTAACATTTAGTTGCAGTTTGTTAAAAGACAAGCCCGTTATAATGGTAGAATTAGCTACAATACTTACTCACTGCCATATTTAGCACTAGATGATCTTTTTTCTCGATACTTATCATGATGCATGTCCAATTGTTCTACAATAGATATTATTTGCTGAAGAGTTTGAAAAGTTGCTACTGAGTCCTCAATTTTGAAATTAGAATAGTCATCTGGCTCTTTCTGTGGACCTTGATAGACTGCTATACTTCCACAAGCCTCTAAAAGTAAGTAAAAATTAGAGTATTATGAAGTTTTAAATGTTCAAGAAACAAAGTTTTGCTGTTCTATATTTTCAGACATAAGGTTTATCATAAATGTGATTAATTAAAATAACAAAGCGTATTTTTGGGGCATAATAGAACATTGTTTCATGTTAATTCATTAATTCATCAGTGTAAATTAAAACAATTTAAATTAGTTGTTATCTGGACTAATAAGTACAAACTTTTCCATGAAAAAAATATAAAAGGATCAGAAGGCTCACTATTACATTCTTCTTTCATAAATTTGTAAATTCTATCAAGTCTGAATATCCAGGAGATGGCGCTGTCATACAATTTCTTGATTTAATGGACCTTGGATCAACAGACTTTATATATAATGCATAAAAACTAACCTAAAGTACACAGTAAATGAAGAAGTAGCCCTAATTGGATTTTCCAAATAATGAACATCAGATATAATCACTCTCTGATTCTGCAATCCCATATTTGAGGAAGGCTTACAATACCATTTTGACAGATCTGCTGAAGCTTTAAATTCACAAAGATCACTTCCACTATTGCTACAAGTGTATGGATAGGCTTAAATGAAATCAAATACACGCTATTTGGATGTAGATCCAGCTTCAACAGAGACCTCTCCCTTCCATGTATTAGCTTCTTAAATGTAGGGTTTATTAACATATATTGCAGTAACTGAGTTCTACACTGGCAGGATACTTTGAGAACCGTATCTTAAATATAGCACATTCAGACCCCCTTCACTTTTGTCAATTTTGTTATGCTGCAATCTGATTCTAGTAGTTACTGAAATTCATTTTTCCTTATTAATCTACACCCAGTAACCCATAATGACAAAATGAAAACAGAAGTTTACAAAAGTCTGTAAATTTATTTAAAAGAAAAAAACTGAAATATCACATTAGCATAAGTATTTAGATTCTTTGCAACAACCAGGGAGTGATTATATCTGATGTTCATTATTTGGGAATCAAGCTGGGCTACTATCCAGCTGGGTTACTGAAATTTAGCTTTGGTGCCTCCTATTTCTTTTACTGACATGTTTCTATACTTTCATTGGAGTCCATCTGTGGTATGATTTGGAAAGGCACACACCTCTCTATAGAAGCCCTCCCAGCTGACAATGCATACTGTAGTAGAGGAAAAGCCATGAGGTCAAAGGAACTATCTGCAGAGCTCAGAGACAGAATTATTGCAAGGGACAGATCTGGGGAAGGCTGCAATAAAATTTCTGCTGCACTGAAGGTTCCTAAAAACATAGTGGCCTCGATAATTCTCAAATGGAAGAAGTTTGGCACAACCAGGACTCTTCCAAGAGTTGGTCGCCCGGTCAAACTGAGCAATTGGGGGGAGAAAAGCCTTAGTAACAGAAGTGACCAAGAACCCAATGGTTACTCTGAATGAGCCCCAGTACAGGGATATCCTCAATGAAAATCTGTTCCACAGCACTCAGGACTCCAGAATGCACCAAAGGTTCACTTTCCAACATGACAATGATCTTAAGCAGCCAAGATAACACAGGAGTGGCTTAGGGACAACTCTGTGAATGTCCTAGAGTGGCCAAACCAGAGCCCTGACTTGAGCTCTATTGAACATTTCTGGAGGGACCTGAAAATGGCTGTCCACCAACGGTCGCTATCTAACCTGACTGAGCTTGAGAGGATTTGTAAGGAAGAATGGCAGAAAATCCCCCAATCCAGGTGTGCAGAGCTTATTGTGTCATACCCTAAAACAGGGGTCACCAACCTTTCTGTGTTGGCGGCCTGGTGGGAAAGGGAGGGACAGGCACTTTTATGCGTGCACACACACATAAATGTGGCTGCATGCGCACAAAGGGGGCCGTGAGCATGAGTGCTCTGCAAATGGGGGTTGCTAGCACCGGTGCGTGGTTCTTGGCTCTCCTAGCCAGCGAGGCTCACGGGTCTTCTAGCACCGGCGTGAGATTTGCGGCTCAGCTAGCACAAGAGCATGCATAAATGCGCACGTGCAACACTGCTCAGCCATTCACATGGCCCGATGGCGAAGAGGCCACAGCCTTAGTGGGACGCGACCCATAGGTTGGGGACCTCTGCCCTAAAAGACTCGAGGTTGTAATTGTTGCCAAAGGTGCTTCAACAAGTACTAAGGGTCCGAAGAGTCTGAATACTTATGCCAATGTGATAGTTCAGTTTTTTCTTTTTAATAAATTTACAGACATTTCTAAAATTCTGTTTTCATTTTGTCGTTATGGGGTACTGCCTGTAGATTAATGAGAAAAAATGAATTTCAACAACTATAAAATCAGACTGCAATAACAAAATTGACAAAAGTGAAGGGGGCCTGAATACTTTTGAATGTACTATAACAGAAAGCAAATAATTGAATCTAAGCAGAGTTTTTCTCTATTTAACACTTGAAAAAAGCAACTGTGCAAACAAAGGCAAGGAAGAAGTCTACCAGAAGCCATCTTCTTCATTCTCCTCTATACATAATAAAGGCCGACATCCTTATAAAAAAAACTCCCAATGATCAGAGATTCCCAAATGAGTATGGAGTACTGTAGTGCTGGGGGCTGAGGAGGAACAGCTAGGAAAAGCCTGGAAGAAGTCCATCATTTGTGTCCAACATGATTTTCTTCTGGGCCAACCTATTATATTTGAAAATTAGGAACCTAGAATGGATATGGGATTACCAATTTGGACAATAGCTAATAGCTATTAATATTACAAAACTGACTGTGTTACTTTGACAAATGGGTCTTTCATACCTTGCATTTTTTGGAGCTTTGGCATACTGATTGCAAAGAGTGAGTAGATTCTCTCTGTTTCTCGATCTCCATCTATTTCTATCTGAATGTCAGCAGGTACACCTCTTCAATTAGAAATACAAAATTTTATAAAATATGTTAATTTTAAAGAAGATTTACTAGCTATATATTAATGCATATACAAATAAAAGGGAAAAAAACAAAACAATGCAGATGTACAAAACTTCTAGATCATTTATACTTACGGCTGTATCATGATAGGTAGGAATTCTTAATATGTGGCCTACCAGAATTAATTGAAACAGCCTATAAAGCTATAGCAAACCCATCTATGAAACTAGTCAATTGCAACTTAATTCCTTATATACAACATGCAATAATCATATATACAACGTTCATATTATTTGATGCCGAAAGAATTTAAGATTAGGGTTAAAAAATAAGAAGCATATTAAATCCTACTCTCTATTCTGTAACTGCTTCAGGCAGAGAAATCCTCACTAAGCAAGCATCAATCAACTATCTCTTTAGTAAAAAAATAACCAGGAATAAGATTGAAAGCTAGGCACATACACATACAATCATCAGATTGTTTTGAGTAAGCAACAGTATATAAAGCACAGAGAATAATATCAATCCCAAAATATCAAAAGCTTGAAATGAGAAATATTGTTAAATCTAATTTATGCCAATTCAGTATATCTCCTTCTCTTGCAAATAATCCTTGCTTCTACCAATACATGTATTATGGATGCCACATAATTTTTTTACTTTATACTTATAGTAAACTTTTATTGCTTTTTTATAGTATATTATGTTTTTGGTGGATTTTATTGTGAGATGCTCAGTGTGGAAGGAAGGAAGGAAGGAAGGAAGAGTATTGATATATATTCAGGTTGCAAAGAACAAAAACTCATTTCCAAATGGCAACTTAAATACATTCATTTATTATAGGATTAATAATCTATGTTGTTTCATAATCATATTTGATGACGTTGCCATAAATATTAATGTTTTCAAATCTAATAATGTTCAGTTACTAATCTCAAGTACATGTGTAATTCTGATGTGCATCTCCCTCCCTCCCTTTGGTCATTAGGAAGGCAACCTAAGTTACAGCAATATATTGTAAGCAAAATTATTTCTATTCCAAAACATGCATATGTTATTTTTCTTGCAGATGTTACTTACGCAGTACATGGCATACAACCCACTGTGTTTTCTGATGTGGCTTTACAGCAAAGCCAATTTCCATTCAAAAAAGCAGATGGGTGATAGACACTCAATCTCTTTTGGTTGCATCTGCTCACTCTACAGAGAGCTTCTATCCACTCACTAGCCTCCACACAATTATTTGCCTGCACATAGAGTGGTTTTTCAACATGTATTACTTGAAACATCTGAAAAAGAAACAGCTCTGTTCAAACAACCAACAGTTTATTTATAGGAGAAAAAAAACACTGGCAGATTTTTAAAAAATGTTTATGTATTATTTAAAAACTTTGAAAACAGAAGACTGGACACTTATCCAAATGGTTGCCTTGGTGTAACAGATACTGGTTAATGTATTAACTTCCATTTTGCTCAGAAAAGGAGGGATCTTGTGATCCACATTTTTGCTTCTAAGCTGAAAGACTGCCCAATTTCATCCACGATTAACATCAGACATGTAAGGATACCCCAAGGCAGAGGAAAAGAGGAGAGGAAACAATCATTCCCTAATTGTTCTTAGAAGAGATGCAGGAAAGAGAACTCTGCCACAATGTGAATTAATAGGTATGACAAATAGGAGTCAGGCATTGAGGGATTAGAGTATTATTATTAATTTTCTCTTTTTAGTACCACCCATTTTTCTTCTAATTTCTTTATAACTGTAGCCTTGTTCACTCGATAATACTATTTTACATCACTTTCTGGGCAACCAGTCAACTCTTTGCACTATTACTTTAGTTTTATTACATTTTACAAGCTCACTAAATGAAAGAGTACAAAAAAACCCAACTAACTTGATAGCGATCACATAACACACTGACAAATGTCCTCCTCTCAGCTTCAATATATGACATCAATAACTGAATCCTACTGTGATCTGATTGGCTCATTGTCAAAACAAGATGACACCTGATTGGCTCTCTAAAGACTCATGCTCACTGGCTACAATCAAATGAAGGAAAGCTACCTGATATCAACCTAAGCAAATTGTGCTTTCTTTTCATGGTTATTTGGCTATAACTTTTCATAAAATACAGAACAGATAATTAAACAAACTTTGTTGCATTACATTCTTGATTAAATTATCTTTCCATTGATATATAATTTTATGGTACTACTCCAAAAAAAATGGTGTTATTAGCATCAAACCTCAAAAATATACTTTTCCCCAAAAGGTTTCCACAATTTTGGCCACTACTGTAAGAATAATGGACAACGGAGAACTGGAAACCCATGTCTACCCCACACACATGGACCAGATTCTCAGCTTCGCTACCCCACACACAAAAGAAGCTGTGTCCAGATCCTCTTCAGAAGGGCCAGGACACAATGCAGCACCACAATACTAAGAAAAGCAGAAGAGAAAAGCTGCTTTATGTCTTTCTCCATAATGGCTATCCAAAAAACTTCGTATTCTGACACACAGCATCCAAATCACACCACACAGCCAACTACCACGCAAAAACTAACCCTACCATACACAAAAGGGGTGTCAGAAATGACAGCCAGAATTCTCCAACGCCCAGGAATAGCAATAGCTCATGAACCCACAGCCACACTCCTCCAGGGATTATCCAGAACCAAAGGCAAGATACAGAAGGATGAAAGAAACAATGTAACCTACAAAATCAACTGTAATCATTGTAACAATTCTACATGGGACAAACATCACATCAATTAAAAACCCAACAACAGCTGGCAGTCAAACACCATGATCCCAAATCCTTAATCTCTATCCACAGCGACAGCAACAGTTTGATTGGAGCAACACAAAAATCGTCAGCCACACTACTGCATGCCACGCTAGTGAGTTCATCAAAGCCTGGCATTCCACAAGCAATTCCATCAACAAACACATTGACCTACAACCAGCCTATAAACTCCTCAGAATCCAAATTAACCGTGCAGCCAACCAGAGACAGCACCAACCCATGCAAGTACCCCCCCCACCAGTTCACCTCCCAATGACCCCGACCTGATGTAACCTTCCCACCACAAGACTCACTGATGACTCACACCTGTCTCATCACAAGACCCTCACTTGACACACTCACACCTGAAGCCCTTATAAACAGAAGAACACTGACACTGATACCCCTAAACTCCTCTGAAGTTGATCCTACTCTGGTAATGTTACCTTCACCACATAATGTGTTGTACCATTTGTGTTTCTATTGAGCAAATACTCCAAACCTTACTGGAAGAAGTTTGCTTTTGGGAATCAGAGAAGATTGAAACCATTGTCCAAGTACTACTGCATTGCAATTTCTAACATGTGGAATTCACTTATTTCACTTCTTATGTATTCAGAATGAACCAATCTCTACTGCATAAAAATTTTACTTTCTGATTCTAATGCTAGCATTATCAGTACTACTGTGGCTAAGTTCTGTGTTGGTTACAATGCATCATTAAATTCTGTAGTTCTAATTATATTGTTACATAGTTTATACTTTAAACTGGATCATTAAACCTAACAATAATATAGGAATTCTTACTCTAGATTTTTAAATAAGCTCATAAATATCTATTAGCGTTTAAAAAAGCAAGAAGCAGGATAAAGTATTGATGCTTTTAAACTTTGGTATTGCACAAGCTCCTGAGAATGCTATGGACAAGCAAGAAAACAAACCAATAGAGCACCAAATAAATCAACCCAGAGTTTTCACTGAAATCACAAATGACGAGGCTCAAATTATCCTTTTTCAGACACGTTTTGTAAAGATCCAGCTCCCTGGAAAAGGATCAAGTGTTGAAAGGTAGAAAGAAAGGGCAACCAGCAGTAAGGCTAATGGACTCATTTACAGTGGTGATGAGTGCACCACTGGGAGATTTGAAAGAACAGATAATAGGCTAGATCAGGGGTCCCTAACCCCCATTCAGTGAACCAGTACCGGTCCGCAGCATGCCAGCAACTGGTCCGCACAAACAAGAAAAGCCCCATCCACAGGATGCAGGCAGCACACAAAACCACACCCTCTCTGGTCTGCAGAAAAACCTCTCTCCACGTAACCGGTCCCTGGTGCCCAAAAGGTTGGGGACCTTTGGGCTAGATCATCATGGAGAATATCTATGTGGTCTCTAGGAGTTGAAAATGACAGACTGATCAATCAATCAATCATCTATTGCCAGTAGAGGAAATTGCTGAGGTAATTTATCTATGACATGATTAAGAAACAGTTTCCCTCTTGAGTTTTGCCAGCTAGAAAGGGAAGTATATCCAGAGCATCTCTCCCTCAATGTCTTTCCCTTGGGTGGGAAAATATCTTTCTTCTCTTCCAAATATATTCCTCTTGGGATGGAAACCAGTATTTTAGAGACTTCTTTTAATATCTTCTTGTAAAGAAGGATCAGGTAAATACTCATGACATTTCTATCTTGTTTGTCAGAGTGGATTTGATTTAAATCACAATTTAAATCACTAGTAAAAAGGCTTGATTTAAATCAACTCGATTTAAATCATAATTTTTAAAGAGCAACTGTCATCTCTGTCCTGCAGCGGCTCCTCCTCTAACCCGCTGTTGACTCACCGACAGTCCCATTCACTTTAATGGGACAGCTGGTGATGCGGCAGTGACACAACAAGGTGAGGGACGTGGCGGGCAGCAGGTGAGTAGATGCCCACTAACAGGCACTGCCATGATGGATCTGAAATGACAGGTGCTCTTTCAATGTAGGGACTCATTATTGCTGGTAGTTAGAATCTTTAATATTATTATTTGCAAACAAAATGAAGGTTTCCTATTTAGAATAATAAGCTGTTAGGTTAGTAAAACAGCGATATCAGAACCGATTTTAGGTTAATAGGTTAATCACACATAGTTGGAAAACTATTCAAATTCTTTTATTTAATTAAAACAGAGCCTGGTATAGATGCATTTATCTTTAAACAATCATACAGTTTGTAATGTACGTAGATTTGCAAAACAATGGGATAAAGGGATATTTCTGAACTTTTTAATGATTTATCTCATGGTGACTGTGAAATTGTGTGAATGCATCAATGCAGTGCATGTTATCTCAGCTTGCAGAGCTTGGATTCATTGAATGAGTTTACCAAAAATGTAAATATTGCAGAATATACAGCCTCATGCTACATAACTAAGCTCCATTTCATGCTGAATAAATTAAATTATTAATATATCTTAAATAAAAAACTATATTTAGATAGATTTTTACTCCAAAAGCATTTAAAAATAAAAAAAATCCAATTTAAATTAAAAAATCCCATTTTTTAATTTTTTAAAAAAAAACGATTATCCACCCTGTTGTTCGCCAGCATGGAACTCATAAATTACTCTATATTAGTGAATTAACAACACCTGATGAAACAGATATCAGAATAAAGACACATCCCAGATCATCAAGCAAGAATATTAAGAGCAGTAGTTTTAATATCCTATAGCAGGGATGTCAAGTGACATATCATAACTTTTTTTCCATTGCTGGCAATGGGTGGGCACGGTTTCAGCATGATGCATCTGGACCGTGGGCCCACAGTTTGACATCCCTGTCCTAGTTAAGGAATGTCTCATGGAAATACCGTACAGGTAGTTCTCGACTTATAACAGTTCATGTTGTGACTATTCAAAGTTACATCATCATTGAAAAAAGGGATTTATGACCATTTTTCACACTTATGACCGTTGTAGGATCCACATGGTTACATGATCAAAATTCAGACAGTTGGTCTTCTGATCACTTTTTTCAATCTTCTGGCAAGCAAAGTCAATGGGGAAATCAGATTCACTTAACAACCGTGTTACTAACTTAACTGTGATCATTCACTTAACAACTATGGCAAGAAAGGTTGTAAAATGGGGTAAAACTCACTTAACAATTGTCTCACTTAGTGATATTGGGCTCTATTGTGATTGTAACTTGAGGACTCCCTGTAGTTCAGAATCAACATACAAGTGCTTTTTCAGTAATGCAACAAGAATTTGAATAGATTTTTGTATCCTGGCATTTAAGTTCTCACTTTTATATGACAATTTAGAATTTTCCATGCTTAACTGTTATTTCAAAAGTTACTTACATTTTTCCTGTTAAATGCACGCTCATCAAGTTTTTCTACTGCAAGAATGTTTTTGACTGGAATGGTGAATATAGGTTCTTTTTCTGGATTAAGAAAAAATAGCAAATCCTTTAATTATAAATAAAACCTTAGCTGTTTAAGATAATGCAAAACATAAATATTGGTGGAACACATTATATGTGATCCCTTCATAGAGCCATGAAGACAAGGATAGTGGAGTATCTGGTCAGGATAGTAACTGAGTGTATTCTGCTGGGAGAGTATCTGCTGTTAATTATTATGATTTTATATTATATTTGTGGATTTTGACAGGTTTTAATTTTTCATGTATGCTGCCCAGAGTCTATTAACCAGAGAACCTTGCAAATCCCAACAATGAATGAATGAATGAATCCTGCAGGAAAAAGAATCCAATATTTCATTTTTTTGGTTCTCAGACTCAAAAGTATGTATTTGTCTACACTGCCCTGGTTAAATCAGATATATAAGCCCAATGGCAAATAATTTTGTAAACTTAATACATTTGTAATTAAAAACATGAAAGAGTACTTTTATTTATTTGTTTATACTGAACAATGTTTTAATGTACTCTTAACCATTGGAATTGAAGAACATAATTAGTTTATCATCATCAGGCCAAACTGTGTAACTTGAAAGGTTAACATTAAAAAAAAAAGAATACCTTGTTGCTTACGATAAGTGAGTTCTCTACTTGTAAGACAGAACCGACGCTTTTTGAAATTCTTTTTTCCAATACGAGTTCTTCCTTGTGCTCTTTTGAACATCTCCCTATGAAACAAATACAAGAACATTTTTCACAGATATTTTCAAATTTCCTAATAGGCTATCCAGATGTATTCGTTTACAAGTTAGATTAATGGATTCAAACTCCTGATCTTAAAACGAATCAGCCATGCCCAGAACAAAAAAGTATTGAGGACTGATTCCCTGATTCAGCATGAAGGCATGCTAAACTAAACACCATGCAGTTTCTTTCTATATTATTTTTCTTCCCTTTCCTCTTTAGTGCACTCTCTTCTTTCTTGCTCTCTTCTTTTTTTCTCCCCTCTCACTCTATTTTTATGCTTTCTATTCTTGTTGTATGAGAGAGGTGACATGTAAAAACATATAGGGCTTGATTAACCTTTTATGCTAGGTTTGTACCATTCACAATATTTAAAAAAACCCACAATTTTCCTACAAACCCAAAATTGTCATGGAACCTAATTTAGGAATATCAATGAAAAGTAAATATAGTAAAAACCCACAGGTATAAACTAGAACAATTATTTATTGGTACTGTTACTATAATTTACTACATAAAGCAAGAAACGTTTACAAAATTTGAAGATAATTTTTTTTTACATACAGGTAGTCTTCGAGTTATGACCACAATTGAATCCAAAATTTCTGTTGCTAAGTGAGACAGTTGTTAAGTGAATTTTGCCCCATTTTGCGACTTTTCTTGTCACAATTGTTAACTGAATCACTGAAGTTGTTCAGTTAGTAACACAGCTGTTAAGTGAATCTGGCTTCTCTATTGACTTCACTTGTCAGAAAGTCACAAAAGATCACATGACCCTGGGACACTGCAATGATCATAAATACGAGTCAGTTGCCAAGCATCTAATTTTGATCATGTGACTAGAAAGATGTTGCAATGGTTTTTCACACTTTTTCCAGTGCCACTGTTTTAACTTTGAACAGTCACTATATGAAATGTTGGTTAAATCGAAGACTACCTGTATTTTCCTTCATTATATAAAAGAACATCCTTATATAGATTCCATTTATAAATAACTTCATAGAATTCTAAACTATAGTAAAAGTCAACAAGGTAATGCCTATACCATTTCTGAATATTGTTCATGGAATTCCTTTTAAAAATGGTTGAATTCATGCAAGATTGTAATTACCCAAACTAGGTAACATCATCAATGCTAGTGCTTGTGTTAACATCATTAACGCTGATGATGTTAACTAGTTTGGGTAATGAAATGTCTGCAAGAAAACATCCAAGCTCAAAGAGCACCAAGGATCCCTCATTTCAACCCTGAGCTAGAAATATTCTCTTTTAAGGCTGTACTTTTTGAACTCTTTAATTATTTGTTAATTTTTATTTTCTGGCTTCATACCTCTCGGCAACATAACACAATGGTAATTAGCACTTGAAATATTTGCTCGTGCTTGATTTATAGAGATAGTAAAAGGGCAGGGGAGGGCAATCTTGTTCATGGGAAGAAGATATTTTACATTTAGGTTAATAGGAATCCCCACAAAAGCCCAAATTTTAACATTCAGGGTCTCACAAAGCCTCAGGGCAACTTCTTCAAACTCATAAGCAGTTGCAAATGAAATACTACAATTCTGCCTGGAACTACTATATTCAAAGTGTCATAAATCTTACATATTCGTTTGATGTATTTTTTAAAAAATCAATTACAGCCTTGCACATTGTACTTTTGTATTAAGTTACCCTTCTTTTAGATGCAATGGCTCATTCATGACACTTGGCTCTTTACTTTCCGTGGAAGACACTTCATCTAAAAACTGAATATGGAGAATATATTAGAATAATAGGAATTATTTTCCCAATTTTACCCAGAATCCTAAAAATTAACAAATATTTAGAAATTAAAATAAACTTATTTTTAAATAAAATGAACATTTTAATAGTTTAAAGTTGTTCTACATTTTTCCTTTGCATTTACTATACATGTATTTTTAAAACACTCCTCCCAAGTATTTTACTAAAACAAGTGGAGTTTAAACGTAACATATAGAGAGAGGCCTGTGCTGGACAATTAGATTTAATCTGTGACTCAGATTAAATCTGAAAAATGAATATGGTAAAATTTTCTAAGATTTTGCAGGAAAGCCAGGAAAACATTTTTTTGGAGAAAGCCAAATATTATGTATAAAGGAAACAATACCTTTTTGACTATTTCAATGTATTCCTCTTCTTGAAACATTTTGAAAAATTCACACATAAAGGTCTCCTTGAAGCTTGACTAAAAAGGGAAAATAGATAAAAGTAAATCTTTATAGAGATATGCCAGTAGACTAAAGTAATTTCAGTATGATACTTACTAGCTTGTTTTTGGATAAGCTTCCCCAGCTTCCCAGTGTCTGAATTGCTTTTGATATAAGAGTTAATGTTCTAGAAGTCTGTGCATCCTATAAGAGGCATTCAAAGAAACACATTCAATATTTTACAAGTGATAGTTCAATTGTGTTGTATACACGTTGTCCTTCACTAACAATCATTCATTTAGTGATGATTCAAAGTTACAACGGCACTGAAAAAAGTGACTTATGACCAGTTTTCACATTTACAAAGTCGTAGCATCCCTATAGTCATATGGCCAAAATTCAGATGCTTGGCAATTGGCATGTATTTATGACAGTTGCAGTGTCCCACGAACATGTGATCACTTTTTGCAACCTTCTGACAAGCAAAGTCAAAGGAGAAGCCAGATTCACTCAGCAACCATGTTACTAACTTAACTGCAGTGATTCACTTAACAACTGTGGCAAGAAAGGTTGTAAAATGGAGCAAAACTTGCTTAGCAACAGATATCTGGGGGGGGGTCTGTTGTGGTTTTAAGTCAAGAAATACCTGTAATACGACCACCAAATATGCTGCATCTAGTGACAAAGTATTACAGGTAGTCCTTGACTTACAACTGTAGTTGAGCCCAAATTAAGTGGGTCATCATATGACCGAGCTGATTTTATGACATTTAGTGACAGTCGTTAAAGTGAATCACTATGGTTGTTAAGCAAATGCTTTGGTTGTTAAGTGAACCCATTGTCCGCAATGGGTTTTTTTTGCAAGAAACCTCAAATGCTGGCTTCCAGAGGAAAAAAAAAAGTTGTAAATCAGTCACATGACCACAGGATGCTGCAAACAATCATACCCTTGGGCTGATTACCAAGCATCACAAAATGTGATCATGTGATGTGTGTGTTTGCATGTTGGCCAATTCAAGGACTATCTGTACAATGAAACAGGCAGATACGTCAGCATATCAAACATACATTTTCTGCAGCAATACAGGTTTCATGGGCATTCACATAAGTTTTGTAATATTAAAACAAGAATTGGTTTTCCTTCAGCTATAAAGAGTTTGGTTCTAACTGCATTGCAGTCAAGGCAGTAACTGCCAGGATAATTTTCTCTAAAATAATAATAAATATTTGTTAAGGTGTTCTGGAAAGTTCCTCAATCTTTGGACAAGTTGTTCAGGTGGGAAGAAAGAACACAGAAAATAGCTTTCAGTGCACTATTAATTAGTGGGCAAAGAAAGCTTTAGTTCTATAAATCTCTACAGATTTAAATCAATCCTTTAGTAATGACATAATACATGTCAATTTTACTTTAATGAAGAATGTGAGACCTAAGACTGAACAAGTGAAAATGAATTGATAGGCATGTCCAAAAAAAAAAGTGCAATATAGTGGTTAAATGTTGAAATGGCACTGGCAAGACCTAGGTCCACCCTGACTCGTGGAAACTCACTGGGTGATTTTTGGCCATGCACTCTCTTTAAGCCCAACCTACTGAGAAGGTGGTGATTGTGGGGAAAACAAGGAAAGAAAAGAATACTGTATGCAATATCTTGAGCTCCTAAATGAAGGAAGGAATAAAGTAAGAGGATATAACAAGTAGGGTGTAGCTGAGAGATCACTGGCCCAAAAACTTGGAAGAAAAAAATGTGCAAATTCCATATGTAGTATTTGGTGTTTTCTAAAGGAAAAAAAGCATATTCAGTGCCAAAATAAGAAAAGGAAAATTATCATAATTTTTGCCAAATGCTTAACTTCTTGGTCTAGTAAGATTGCTACATAAATATGTTCCGGTAATTATGTACCTAAAAGAATAATATAAATCCAGGAAGAAAAAAAATAGACATCTGTGTGCAATATTAGTGGCTTAATTCTCTCTCCATTGTATTTCCTGTGGAAGCTTTAACAAGATTTTTGCTTAGAATAATAATATGACTCCTTCATGAAATGTACTGAGGACTATCTGTACAGAGACTTCATCAAAGGTTTTTGAGCAGTACAGTCAAAGTTAAATCAACTAAAAAACATAATGGAGTATGACTGCTTTGTGTGTGTGTGTGTGTTTTTAAGTTAATGTTCACGCCGGGCAGCCACCTGCATTAGACCTCTTGTGCAAATCTCTTTGAATATTTGCCGTTGCCTTCTTCCTATGACTGTGAGAATGACTGGCTCAAGATTATTCAGCTGGCTTCATGCCTAAATCAGAAGTCATAATTTCCTGGTTTCTAGTCTGGTGTCTTAATAACTACACCAAACTAGCTCTTCACTATGTGTTTTCAAATTTATTACAGTTATAAACCAGCATAAATATATTTTTAGTTTTTCTTAATTTTACTGAAAATAGGAAATGTATCCCCAAATGTTAAGTCATTAGATTCCAACTAGTCAAATGTTTAATTTTATTTTAGTCATATACTAGTTTCTAATGTCAAATACTTTCAACATATGAAAATGACCAAGAAGGCTTTACTGTTTGATAACTGATCAGTGAGTTTTTTAAAAATATGTTAAGTGGTCTCCAAGCTCCCTCAGCGTACATCCTCCTAAGCTCACCAACTGCATGAACATAACATTATCAAAACTTACTGGATGATGAGGTCGTAAATGGAAAGTATGAGGCGATACTACAGCTACAGCAAAGAAACGAAGGAACACAAAGCTGCTCACTGCAGAATACTGTACATGAGGGTCATCTGCAGAGAAAAACCATGAAATGTGAAATGTATAATTTAGCAGGAAATGGGTGAAATAAGATAGTGAAAAACCTTAGTAGGGTGTCAGTAGAAAAAAATGGTTACTATTCTTCTGCAAAATAGAAAAGTAGCAAGTAGTCTGAAATGAAAGTGATGTTATGATGAAAGATGCATGGCCCTATGTTATTGGGCATGTATCAGAGTTGTTACAGTTTATTTGATGTTACCTGCTAGTTGTAGCAAACTAAGGATTGTGCCCCTTCCTCTTCTCTGTCACAGGTGTGAATGAAACTGCAAGTTTCCACTTCTGTATTTATTTAACAGTAGGCTCTATTGTTATGATTAATCTTAACAAAGCAAAGGAACATACTGCCAAAGATACATTTTTAAATTCAATATGTTTCCATAAACCACTGTTAATACTAACAAAAGTCTGTAGTGCAATCAGTTTCCTGCCAATTTCCTTTTACTTTAGAAATAAAAGTAGCGATGAATTTAGGCACTATTGTTGGTGCATGCAATAGTCACCTATTAAATATATATTTTTATGACTGGAAATGTAAATTATTTTTCTGTTAATATAGCAGGAAGAGGCAACTTAGTAAGAAATTTTAGTTTATCCTCAGTTTGCATATCCAGTTATAGAATATTATAGTAGTTGTAGTCCAAAGCCACTACTACCTATCCTTTCAGTACAATATTAGTGTGGAGCATAAGTATGGTTGCTTGCTGTTAACAGCAGTATATCAACAGAAGACAGGCAGTGTCTACAACTGATGTATTTCCCTCTTTTTATAAATGCTATAGAACTGATTTTGGTAACATTCTTGTGGATGTAGACCCTTTATTCAAGCCATAAATCAAATTGTCATTTTGAGACATTGATACACTTACTAGGAAATCTTTCAGCAGCCAAGCGCCTCAGAGAGCACAACACATCACACATTAATGTTGGGCAACTTATACTTGATTGTACAATTGTACTGAAAACTTTGTCAACATAATAACGAAGATTTTCCTGTGTAGACAAATAATTTCAGAAAGTTAATAATTTTTAAGTGTTTACCAACTTCATTTTATCAGTGAGAAAAATCTCTTCAACAAATTTGTCTTGCCACCTGAATCTGGAAAATTGTCAACTGCTCTTTATAGGGAGGGAATTCCTTGAAGTCTTGCCAAATACTGTGCTGTGCTCCCTTATGAAAAGGAAGCGTGGGCCTTGGACGACTACCATCTGGTTTGTAGCATTTCACTGTTGTTGAGACAGTGGTGGAAGCTTCACAGAGCCCTAGATGAAACAGGTTATCTGGACCCTTTTCAGTTAGGATTCAGGCCTGGACACATTGATTCTCCTACTGGATGACCTGATTTGGGACTCTAAGGAGGGATAGTTCATTTTTACCTTGGACCTTCTGTTGGCTTTTGGTACTACCAACCCTGGAATGTTACTGGATTGTCTATGGGGGTTGAGAACCGGAGGCATTGTTTTGCAATAGTTGCACTCCTTCCTCAGTTATCAGTTCTAGTCAGAGGCAGCAGGAGCTTAGCCTGATAGCCTGTGATATGTCAAGTGTCACAGGAGTTGTTCCTCTCTGCCTTGCTTTTCAACATTTATATGAAGTCAATAATGAGGTCATCTAATGGCCTAGTTGTATAATCAATATGCTGATGACACTCAATTTTACATTGCCATCTTGAGCTATAGTGAAGTTTCTGCTGATATTCTCTCTTGGTTCCTGAAGACTATTAAATATCTGAACTGGAGAAAACAGTGAAGCTGAGCCCAAGTAAGATAAGAGTTACTGTTTGTACAAAAGAGTCTCCGATGACACAAGTAGGCATTACCCACAAGGCAAGTTTGCAATGAGGTAGAGGGCTTCTAAACCCATAGATATTTCTAGAACATGATTAGGGACTATTGTCCACCTGTGGCTGGTGTGCCAACAGCAACTTGACCTCGTGTAGAAAAACCTGGTATGATAACTCATGCCCTCATTTGCATGTGTATGGATTATTGCGGTCATGCCCTCATTTGCATGTGTATGGATTATTGTGGTGAATGTCACATAAAGCTGCCCTTATAGACTAGTCAGAAGTTGCACTGGTCCAAAATGTGCTGGCCTGCATATACACCAGTTCTTGGTGATGGACCCTGATGCTCCAATTTCATGGGCCTTGCATTGGCTGCTAATAGGTTTTTAAGATACAATTTAAGGTACTAGTGTGGACTATAAATCCTGCATGAGTTGACACCTTATTGCTTGCGGGATGGTTTGCTCCAAATAAAATTGATCCCACTTATTAGATCTTGCAGGTAATCTAGTAGTGGTTCTGCACTCCTGGGAAGCAAAGGGGGCCAAAGCTATTAGATGCTGTTTTTTGGTGGAAGCACATTGTTTTGGAATGGCATCTCCTTTGAGATTAGGCTCACCACTTTCAGAAAATTATGGACAACCAATTATTTTGGAAGGCATTCTTCTGATTTAATGTATGTTATAAAAATAACTATTACTATTTTTATTAATTTATGTCAGCATTCCTTCTTTTTGTTGGGCTTTTATAATTATATTTATTCTGGATGTTTATATATAGACCAATGAAAGTCACTTGATTACATCCAAATCTATTTTTTATTCTCAGTACTGATAACGTGAATCAAACACAGCAGTATATTATAAATTCAGTCGGTGGTATCAACCACAGAGAAGCTTACTATGTAGTTAATATTAATGCCCATAGTACTTTTCAGATACAAGGTGTCTTGTAATCAGACTATCAATAATATAGTTAACATTTCCATTTTCTTAATGGTAGAATAAACAATAGCAGATTTCAATGATAAGGTTTGATTTAAATTGTGTCAAGTATATATCAAATATTGTATTTTGTTTTATAGTTGTTTTTAATTATACCCAGTAATTACAGTGAGGTTGACAAAATGAAACTGAAGACCAGAAATGCAGTAGGCAAAATCATAAGACAAAGAAAAGTGTTCAGATTCTTAATATACTTTCTTGTTACTAAAATTATTGTGGACTTTTATATTCCAGAAAATGCTTGTTTGTTACAAGTTCCATAAATAAAAATTTTAAAAAATCCCCACACAACATTTTAGCATACCTTGTGCATTTCCACATTATCTGCTTCTTTCAGTTTCAGGGGATCAATTTCACAAGGTTTAGGATTCTCACATATCTGAAACAAGATTAAAGTTTGCAGCAGTTATATACTTGTCTAATCAGAAGTGAGTTCAGTGAGATTTGTTTTTAAGTTAAAAGAATGAAAATTTTATCTATTATAAAATGACAATTAATAACACAATAACTATGTTCTCTCTTGGATCAGATGTTAAAAATATATTGCTAACCTATAACAATGATTCTTCAAGGTACATGTGATTTTTGCAAAACAAGAAAACTACTCCTTTATTTCAGTCTCTTGAAAATGTTGTAGAACAATTTGTGTGGAAAAGTTTGCATATGCAGTAAATGCAAAGTTGACCATTTGAAGGACCAGATATAGGAACAAAACTGCTGTCTTTTAACTTATGCCTCGCCCATGTGGGTAATTAGCATATTATATACTTTCTTGTTAAAGTGATATCTGACATGCTCCGGTTTGCAGCTAATAATGCTAGATGATATCCAGCAGGAAAAGTCAGAATGCAGTCACAATAGTGCCAGCAATCTTTGTTGAATGAGCTTGAGCTGTTCTGGGAAGATGAAGCAACATATACTATAAATGATGTTATGGTGTTATTAATCCAGTATAATTGTAGCTGCTACAATGAAACAGATAACCCTTTTTGTGACAACCAGGAGTCAGAGAAATGTGAGCTAAGAATATATGGGCTGCCAAGCTGCCTTTTTACTTCAATCTTTACATAAAATCAATACAGTATGGAATAAAATTATATCCCTTCCCTGCCAGTACTCCAAGTCCATAAAAAACATTGTATAATTCTTTTCTATTTCCACTGTGATATGCACACATTAATGGATTTAGTAGTTTCCAAAATATTATGTTTGTGCATAGTGCTATATCCTAGGATGTTTTTCATTGTCATTTTTTTAAAGTTTTGAAATCTAATTCCTACTACACCTTGGAATTCTGACTACTGAAACAACAGTAGCAAGAATAAATATTCTTTCTATTTGCGTATTGAAAATTCAATTTCAAATTTACATCTAACCAAGCTGATGTAAGCTAAAAGGGAAGGGAAGATGATGGTGGATGTAAAAATATTGCAATCAAGTCTAATATGAGGTGCTCAGCCTTTCATAAACTGTTCACACAATATATGAATATAATTAATATTTAATATATTCATGAATATATGAATATATTAAACAAATCGATTAAAGAATTTGCAACAATATTTTGCAAAGCGATTGGATTCTTATGTAGCATATTATTTGTCTTGCAGTCTAGCACGATAAGAACTGGAATAGTTTATCCAGTCTCAAGAAAGCAATACAGATATTTTAGACCTTGCACAAAGCTGAAAACAACTGATATCTGTAGTAGCAGTATGAAATTTTAGGCAGTAGGGATTTTTCCATTATTCCCAATATGTAGCATTTCAACACATATATTTATCATACCTCATCTAAAATTGGTTTTAAAGTAACTTTCAAGTAGTGCTTTCCTACTATTTTCATCATCTCATCTACACACCGAGTAGTTAAAGAGTTTCCTCTGAAGATTGTATTTACTTCTCTGTAATACAATAGAAATAATTAGAGATTCAGAACTATATACATACACACATATCCACAAACATGCATGCAGATATAAGATGACCAAAGTTCTCTGCTGCAGAGTTTCTAGCTAATATAGTCTACAACAATGCAACATTTTAAAGTATCTCTAATATTATGAATATATATCTGGATATATATTATCAATAGATACCAATGTCTTCTAGGTTGCCCTAATAGTAGCCAAATTCAAATTAGTATGCTTAATCAATATTATACATTTATTATGGCATAATTTAATTCTAGACACCTCTTTCCAAACACTCAATCAGAATAGGCACTATCTTCAAAAATGCATGGAAGGATTTCAATTTCTTTTCAGAAATATGATACCATTATACAGAATAAATTCTTCCATCTTTCTTTGGTTCTATATAATCTTGATATTGCTATGCCATTTTTGTTTTTTAAAATCAAATCATTAATAAATTCTAGAAAAATTAGAGAATATGCACATTTTAAAACCACTAATAAGACTAATTCATGCTCAACTGGTCTTCTACCAGGAGGGAGGAAGAAATCTTGGACTGAATCATACTAATCTTTAATGCAATGTTTCATTAATGAAACGTTGGGAGCATAGCATAATTGCAAGGGTTCATTCTTCAATAAATGTAAGAAAGATAAGCTGTGTAAGACCCAATATCTTTTTCTCCAGGATTACAAGATTTCTCCAGAACTTAAAAATAGTGCATGCCAAGAAACAGAAAATTATCTATTTTCTAACAAAATCAAACAACTATTACATATTCATTTCAAAAGAGTCTGAAATCACTTAGTCCTAAGAATAAAAAAAATTGTAATGTTTACTGAGAAAAATAATTTAATATAAAAATGTATGTGACAAGTTTACTCATTTATCTTTGTCATGGAGAGAATGGAAGAAAGTCAAGCACTTACTGGGTTTCCTTCAGTTCTAATTCTGCCACTGCAGTAACAAACTGCACTAATCTATGATGGTGTAGCAACAACCTTACAAGTGGCAAAATACCATCGTATTTATCTCGACACATTTCAGCCAAGATGTAAGCAGCTGATGCAGAAATTGGCTATAAAAAGGGGGAAATGGGATGAATATACATAATTCCTCACATTCAAATATACAGGGAAAAGTTAATAAGAGTAATAGTAATTTTTCAGGTAAATCTTAGCCTAAGTTAAAAAAAAGCTTATGTAAAATAATTTTCTTCCAGTTTCAAGAATTACAATTAATTTTTTGCCAGCTGATTGGAAGAAAACCTTACAGAAATTCTTTTTGCCTTTCATTTGACATAATAGAAAAAAAAATCTCAAAATTACTGTTTATGTTCATATTTAAGTTTTTAATATCAGATGGAGCATCCAACTGCAAAAGAAACTTTCAATAAAAACAAAATCAGTTTTTTGTGTCTGTAGGCTATCCAAAACTGACAGAGCACTCCCAGCAACCAAATAGATTGTTCTCAAAATTAATCAGCAAATTAGGCCTGAGAAAAAGGGTAACGGTACAAACTGAAATGGTTTATCTCTCAGAAATCCACGTTGCCCTTTGAACTCTTATTTCAAAAGATGTCAAAAAAAGATTTGGATTTAGGGAAATTTGAAAGTGAAGAGTAGATAACAGCTTGCCTTTTACAGGATCTTTAAGCTAACCCAAATAGGATCCAAATTTAGTCCACCTAATCAGGAGTCCCCAACCCCTGGTCCATGGACCAGTACCGGTCTGCAGCATGCCAGCAACCGGTCTGCACAAACAAGGAAAGCCCCATCTGTGGGATACAGGTAGCACACAAAACTACTGGTTTTGTGGCCTGTGGAAAAAGCTCTCTCCCTATAAACGGTCCCTAATGCCCCAAAGGTTGGGGAGCTCTGCACTAAATTATGGCAATATTTTTAACTTTATGACAGTATCTTTGACTATAACAAGGATTTAAATCAAAGCATTTGCTGGCCCTGTTATACAGAATGCACTCTCATAATAGTTGTTATGAGTGTGGCTTCCACAAAACATTAATTTCTTAGACAGAAAAGAGGTCTGAAGAAGACTTCACACATATTTATTACACATTCAATTCCATATTGAATTACATTATTGAATTTTGTAATATGTATATCAAAAGGGATAAGAGGAAGTATGAATAATATAAATTTGGGGCAAATAAAAAAGCAAGTTAAATAAAAATCCTTCTTTTGAATAAGTGAGATATAATTCTGTGCCAAATTCAGTAGAATTCTATGTACAAATACAGTCTAAAACCCGGACCAAGAACTGAGATGGTTCTGTTATCAGTATCATAGGTATGCTACCAGATTTTTGCTGGAATAGAAGTTAAGCCTGATTGCTGGCTACATGACAGAATATTTATTCTTGTCTAAAAAAAGAATGTACTGAATCAAATCTGTACAATATGCATACCTCTCAATATTGAACAGATGAAAACGAACAGCTTTTAAAATTCTTTATGAGGAAAAATTTTTAAGCACACTTTTTGCAGAGAACTTTTGTATAGTTCAAATGTTTGTTTTCTGAATAGTAAGCTCTTGACAACCATATCAAATAGCATTTAAAATTCTAACTTTTCATAGAATATAAGAAATTGTTTTTTAAAACTTAACCATTTTAGGGGCTATACAATATTATACATATTGCTTTTTTGAATTCTGAACAGAAATCTAACCTAAAATATCTCCTTTTGAAAGGAGAACTTGTACCACTTCCCATTAAATCCAGCACAGAAGGAGTGGGCTAGTGACACTTGAAAAATGAAAAATACCTCTACTTCAGATGATTTCAGAAGCAAGTCTCTAAGAGACCCATAATACTCAGATGGAAGTACATAATCTTCAGCATAATTTATATTCAGCCTAAGGGATCCATGATCTTCACTTTTAGCAGATTTATTTCCATTATCTTTTGGTTGTAGGAGGTACCTTAAAAATAAGAAATTATAAGGCATAAGATATTCTCTAAATGACAGGCTGAGCAAATTGTAGTTTTAAGCAATTAAGTAAGAATAAACAGAGAATGAAAAAGCAATAGGATCTTTCTCCCTTTCCTTCTTTCCTTTTGTAGATTTGCTAATTTGTACTTATTCATATAGTTAGAAAATGCTTATACTGTCTTCTCACTTCATGGTTATGGATAGCATACAAAAATTCTATTAAATAATTAAAACATTATACATTCATGAAATATAAAATTACAAGAACCAGATTTGTAAACAATAAAAGGCGTGTGTCAATGCCTTTTTATATAATAAAAAGAAGCTTGTCTAAATTCCAGCAACTTGTTCCATAAGAGGCATCTACTACAAAGAAAGCAAAATTCTCGATTCAGATATGTCATGCCACGAGTCATTAAAAGAGGCCTATTAACTGTAAAGATCAATTGTGTACTAAGATGGCTTTCAGAGCATGACTTCTTTGAAGTGGTAGAGAATTCTATCCAGACTAAGAATCCAATGTCATATAAGTCAATGCAACGTTTGTTGTAACAGCTTGTCTGAATGTGCTTTCCCCCTTTCTGTTTGTATAAACTAGGCAGGGGCTTATCTGAGATGTTTTCTCAAATTAGTTTCTTGGTTCAGGTTCAAACCCCACTTATATGACTGTGGCATGGTAATGGTTTTTCCCGGTCCTTCAAAGACATTCTCTATCCCCTCCTAAAATCTCGACAATCTTAATGGTAATTATCCTCAAATGCCATTAGGGAGGAAACCCAGTATTTTTATACATTGTATAAAATATACATTGTACCGATCTGGAACTCTGCCTAACCTGTAGTACAGTTTCTCATACTGTTATTATATTTCACTGCAATGATTATAGATGTATACTTTTTTTAGAGATTGAGTCTTTATTAATGCAATGAACTATTATATCTTGCACAAAGTTTAATGATTTGTTTAAAAAAATAGATTGATTTTTGTGTTCAATATAGCAGTGTTTTTCAAACTGTGTTCCACAGAATCCTAAGATTCTTCAAGAACTTAACAGGTTTCTGTGAGAGACCAAAACCAACCCCATACTTATTCAAATGCAGTCAATTTTCTATTATTAGAGTTTTGCTTCTTAATCATGAGCTCGAGAATGTTTTTTTAAAAACAAACTACAGATCTGTGGCCTGAAAAAGTTTGAAAAGCCCTGTTCTATGTTTTTGGTATCTATCTTTTCAGGAAATGAAACATATTAAAAAAATACTGAAAAGACAACTACTTTACAAGTTGGCAAAGGTTGGTAGCTTGATTTAATAACACTATTAGAGAGCAGGGCTGTTTTATACGCAATTTTACTAAAGCTTTAAATGATACTGGAAACTAGAGCTACCTTGTACACATTGTTGGATTTGCACTATGTTGACATGGCTTTTGAACAGAGTTCTAAACTATTAATCACAATCTGACTTTTCCTGTCTTTGATGCAGTTAAGATTAACTGTTTGTTTTGTAACTTAAAACTTTTTTGTTGGTTTCAATGAAAATGTAGGAAATATTAATTCACTTGGACTAGTCAGTAAAGATATTGAAGATAGAAGAAGCTATGCTAGTTTAATTATGTTAAACTTATTCTTCATTTTACCAATATGACAACTTTGCGCTCAATTCCTTACCATGCTGGGAAAATATCACTTCCTAAAGATTTGACAGGAATCTTAATTTCTCCTAGGAAAAGATCTTGCACCAAGTTGCCATTGTTCCATAAGTCAATCCTGAAAGTTAAATCTTAGTTTTAATAACTGATTAGTTAGCTATCATAACATATCTAATTTTTAAATGATTTTAAATGATCACACAGAACAGCACACCAACTCCACATGCATAAAAGTAAGGTTATTATCTCTCATTTAATAGTCTGTCTGAGTTAATAAGAAAAGTGTATCTTAGTTCTATAGAAAGCAACTGTGAAAATCTACCTAGTAGTTAAAACTGAAACTTTATCAGTAAGAAAAAAGCGATGGTGCCAAGGCATTAAAAAAAAGTATATTTTCTTCTCAGGCATTTACTATTCTTATTTTATTTTTATTAATCCCATTTACTCTTTATTCTGGTTAAACTGTAGCACTTCAATGACACATGCATTACGTATTCTTTAAAATTACTTTTTAGCCAAGACAGTTCAAGTATTCATAACTTAAAAGCATATACACACACTGTATGTGGGTTCCTGAGTCTTACCTCACCAATATTTCTGTTAAACAGCACATATATTAAGAAGAGAAAAAAATTTGTTGGGTTGTGAGATTTCTGAAGATGTAGCAGGTTCTATTGCCTCCCTAAATGTTATACCAACTGTGATATGAATTCAGATGTTCTAACTAACCCTACAGAAAAGCTTTAGTTGAAGTTGGATTAAGAAATAGTATATTATTTTCTTCAAAATATTCCAATTATAATTCCTTCTCAAAATGTATTGCATTGAGAGGTGTATATGTGCATTTGTCCACTCCATCACTGTATATTTCCCCAAATAAAAATGTTTTTGTCTCATAGCAAGAAATGTGTAAATCACAGGCCAGTTAAAATGTCTAAACTGTTATCTAGGTGTACTTGAAAATCAATAGTACTAAATATAATATGATTTACTTCTCCTTAGCCACAGATGGTTATTATACACAATTAGAATAAATACTGTAAGTAACATGCTTTGACTTAATAAATTGCTTTTCTGAATATGCTTCAACTACTGTTTTTGAAGGCATGTTTTTTCAAGGCCAGTTTTAAACTGAATCTCACCCCAAACTTAATAATTACCTCGACCATCTTCAGCAATTACAAAGCAACTTTTTATTTTTATTGTAAGAAGCACTGTCTGCTTTGATTGCAATATCTGAATTAATCTTAATATGTTGAAGAATATACCTGACTTCTAGCTTCTCAATGTCTTCTTCTTCTACTTGAAACTGTGACTTCTTGGTGTAACTACTGGATCTAGTTACCTGAAAACAAAACTTACAAAGTAATTTGTTTCTCTTTTAGCAGTACCCATTTAATTCAGTCTAATAGCTATGCCTTTCTAACATTGTTTGTTACTAGAAAATGGATCTATTTTTAAGTAAAAAAGACATATATCTTGAAATATAAGAAAGACTATTACAGTAAATATTTGCAATGTATCAATGATAACAGTCACTGCTGTAAGTTGGGCACCTCTAAAAAGCATTTTAATAAACTATATAAAACATAACAAAACTATGCTTAATCTTTGTTTTACTCCAAGGCTTTAACCATATTTTGATGTCATGGAAAATTTAGTTAATTAACCCTTGATTTTTAAAGTGTTTTAACAAAATCTCTACAGCTTTTATATTCTTATTTTGAACCATTGCAAAGTCTTGGATTAATTTTCAGGTTCAGATGCTAGTGAAAAGAACCACAGCTAGCATTCTTCCAGGAAGAACATAATAACTTTTAAAACAGAAAACACAGAAGTTGCCACAAAAAATGCTATCTAATGACTGACTTGCAGTTTTAATATATAAGCACCTTTATCTTATTGTTATTTTAAAAATAATCTCTCATAAACCTTTTTCAACCCTTTTAAAAATATTCTAAAACTTTCATGTTCAAGTGAAGGGAGTTGAAAGAAGAAAGCTGGTACTTAAGTTTTTATAGCTATCATGTCAACAGTAATAATCAACACTCATACTTTTCTATTAATAATGCTGGGTCAACAACATTATTGAAACATCCTGAGATAAAATGCTAGAATCCAATGTGTATACATATTTCCCCATTCACTGCTATGTTAAGTACTGAAACAACTTTTGGTGCTAGGTAAGACATATAAAAATCTAGAGGAGAAGATATTACAGACCTAGTAATTTTGAAATCTGAGCTCCCTTTTTTGCTCCAAAAGCAGTACAGAATAAATTGATAGACATAATATCAACATAAGATAAGAAATTAGTTACCTCAAAATAAAAAGTTTCATTAAATTGTGGATTGCTTGTTTTCTTCTTTACCTTTGTCTTCTTTTGATCGTTCCTGTTCCAACATAATACAGCTTTATCATATAGGTCTTAAAATATATTATTGTAATTAACAGGATTAATCTACATGATAAAGCATTTTTTAGTTTAAAACTAAAGGACTTTTAAAAAATTATCCAAGTACATTATTGACTTCTTGGAATTGTATAGCCCCATTAAAATTTTTAAAAATATGGTGTAATTAGGTTAATATTTGTGTCTGAATATATATATACACACACACTACACATACAGTTTGCATTCAGTACATTGGAAAATTTTGGACACTTGGGATTTAAAAATCTATTAAATTTGATTATGTGAAATACTTATTAGGAAAAAAAAACAAAGCAGAAAATTTCAAGGAAGATTTAGAATTAGACTAAGTATAAATGAAATATTATTTATCTATTGCAGTCTGAAACAAATTAAGGATGGATTACAGAATTCAGTTTTTTAAGTTTACATTAGCATTTTATAAGCTCTTATCTACTATTGCTTTCATATATTCATATGATTTCATATAGGGAGACATTTTAAGATATTTTCTTCGTGCTTGGAATCAATGTCTGAGGGGAGAGTAGAGCCATCCAGACTAGTCTTCTCATAACCTAAAATATCAATGTGAGAAGGGAAGCAATCTTTACATGCAGTACTGAATAAAGAGAAAGTAGCACACACCAGAATTTTTGGGAGAAGCAACAAAGTGATTATAATGAATAAAAATATTGTAGAGAATAGCATTCTTTAATACATGGTTTTCTAGTTTAGCCAATCGCATATTCTGAATTCCACATGAAAGTTGTGGATAATACTGCAGTCATGGGGATGCAACAAATGTGTGCTTTTATAAGATCTATATCCCACAGTTCTTTCAGAAGATCAAACAGTGTAGATATCCATTTTTTTTCCCCAACAGAAATCTGGTATGCAAATTGGGATAAGAGCAGTGAGTTGTCCAAAGACATCATGTCAGCTTCCATACCCAAAAGCAGAGTTGAACTCAAAGTTCCCAATTCTAGGACCATATTTTATCCACTGGCTTTACAGTGACATGGTGGACCCCCCCCCCCAAAAAAAGTATTAGATGAGGCACCGTGCCTACAAAAAGCCAAGGAGAGTCTACAGGCACAATATTATCCCATAGCATTACATTAAGGACCTGAAACTTAATTCAGATTATTTTCATGTACAACATGTGTACTGGCACTTTTAAAAACATGCGTTTATATTGTCTTATATGGAACATCCACAACATGCAGGGCTATAATTCAGTATAACGTATCATATAATAAAATATGTATTAACCCTATACATTTTGTTTAATGAAACATTTATCAATTGAAAACTGGTGCACTAATATAACCTAATTTTGGCATAAATTTTCGGTTGTTACCTTGGCAATTTCAAAATATTTTAATTAGTTACCTTGAAGGACCAACAACAGATACTGTGGCATAAGGGTCACAATTTTGCCCATTAATAAGAGGCAGTCCATGACATTCCTTCAAGCTAGAATTAAAAAAAGAAAAAGGAAATTACTAGTCCAGTTGCAGTTCACTTAAAGTTATGCCACATCTAACAGATAAGTGAAAAATAAGATGTGCTAATTCAACTGTCAGCTGGCATTGAACATATATTCTTTGCACAGGTCAGCAACCATGTTGTCAGTTTTCATTGTCTTGTCAGTAACTTTTAGCAACATCTACTAATAATTCTAAGTAATTGGCTTCTTATACCTGCTCCATTCTAGAAGCTATGTGCATTTAATCTTGAGAAAACAAATTGGAGGTGGGATGTTTTCACACTCTTCAAAAACCTGAAAGACATCACACAGGTCAATACCTGTCATCTCTCATTCCAGAAACCAGGCTACAGGTTTATGTTACAGAAGGCAGATTCCAATTTAGAAAGAACTCTCTAGTGGTAACTGGAGCTCAGCAGTACAAATAATTATTCAGAGAGATGGGCTCCTTTCCCAGGATATGTTCAGGCAAATTGAACTGTCATTTGTGTAAGATGCTTTAATTGGGATTCCTGCATTGAGGAGGGAATTGGACAAATGGCCTAAGTGGGACTGCCACTTACAATTTAAGAATTGATTATGCTAGCAAGGAAACTATGTGGTACACAAGGGCGTGGTACATATTAATAATATCAATAGCTATAGAAGTCCCAAACCAGAAATAATTTAACCAGTTTCAGGATTTAATTTTATGATTGTCTGATATATCATCATCCCTTTTCTAGTAAGACAAATCAAATTAAATAAGTGCAAGATCAAATCAATTAGATTTTTAGAAGTTATAAAATTTCATGTAACTGACGGGATGGTAATCTCAAACTTTCTCAAACTCTGGGACCTTAAAATTTGGGTATACAAGGCTTGCTTTAACTGTTATCTTCTCTCTCTCATCCCCCAAACACGAAATTTCCAGTTGGAGAAAGTAAATGAAAACTGATAGATCTCATGTTAGGTACCAAAATTCTTTTTTTAAAAAAAGATAATATTTTCCCAAGTTAAGAAAATTGAATTATAAGGGTTTTTTTTAAAAGGAATGCAGTCATTATTAAAAAGTAAAATTCAAGAATGTTTTGCACTTGGAAATTTTCCTACTTAGTTAAAAAGATTCAGTAATAACATTTTAATCTATTTATTTTCCATAAGCAAACAGTTTTTTTAAAACAATTCATAAATATCCTTACTGTACTACTAGCTGCTGGCATACAGATCCATTATCTGTAATCAGTTCATTTAGTCGTAATTCAAGATGTACTTTTCCCTGTTGGTAAAGAGGAAAAACATTGAGTTGAAAGTCTGTCAAATTATACTTCTTGTTATGTTGCCAATACTATTCTACATGTTTTCAAAATGTTTTCTAAAAGTTATCATCAAATTACAAAAAGCAGAAAAACTGAAAGCCCTTTCCATAAAAAGAATAAAACTCCAAATCTTACCAATTAGCATATTCCTATGAAAATATTAAATTTAAATTATTACTGAATAAATTCCACCAAGAAGTCAAATATTAAGCATTAGAGCATAACAATAGATATTGCTTCTACTTCCTCTAAGAAACAATTGATAACATGTAAGCTCATGATCTACATTAATAAAAAATGTCAAAGAGAACATATGGTAGAATATTAATCCCAAAGGAGGAACCATGAATTCAGGTAGTCTTTGTTTAGTGACTATCTTATTTAGCAACTGTTGATGATGGTGATGATGTAAGTTTAGGACTTTTTCAGGTCTCTATAGCAAAGGATAGCTAGAGTAAGACAAAAGCACAGTTGCCAATCCAAACTGTGGTTGCAAATGAGAACTACCTGTATTCATCTTTCTAAGGCTTGTTTTTCTCCTGAACTGATTCATATTGCTATGTAGACTAACAGCAATTATGGAATAGTACAGAGCAACCCGAAAACAATAACCCAACATACAGTAATTACAGCATCTATTTAATATTTCAAGATACAGATTTATGAAAATCTTTAATTTAGCCAGTGTCGATGTGCTAAACACGCTAGGTACAGATAGTCCTCAACTTATGATTGCTTGCCTAATGATAGTTTGAATTAACAGCCTCCAAAAAGACAGTCATGATCTAAATTTGAACTTATGACCATCGCCCATCCACCCCCATCGTTACATAATTGCAATCTGAGTGCTTGACAACTGGTTCACATTTATGACCATTTGCTTCTACTTCTATGGTTCCATGGTTAGGTGATCATGATTTTTGGTTTTTGTCTTTTTTTTTTTTTTGCAAAAAATGGCAAAAAACACCATTAGTTAAACTGGATCACACTTAACAACTATGTGATACAACTTCCAACCATGGTAAACATGGTCATAAAATCAGGCCCAGTTACATGATGACTCGACTTATAACAATGACTTACATCAGAAATTCTGGTTCCAGTTCTGGTTGTAAACTGAGCACTACCTGTATTTTTAACTCTAACCTGAAAACTGTTATCTTCTCATAAAGAAATCACTGGAAATCAATATTTCAAAGATGGCTTGTATTTGGAATTACTTGTATAAACGTTTTTCTTATCATTTCTTCCTTTATTAGAATAGTCTTTGCTAAGGCTTTTTAAAAACTAATGAGCATGTATGTGCCATTATCTCTATTATAAAAGCTTTGAGAAACAGATAATTTGACATTAGAGGCAGTCCTTATGTAATCATTGCCCCGTGGAATGAAAATTCAGAGTTATAATGGTGCTGAAAAAGTAGATGTATGATCAGTCCTTGAACTTATAACAGTTCCAATGTCATGTGAACACAATTCAGGCACTTTGCAACTAGTACCCACTATGATGGTTGTAGTGTCCTTGGGCACATAACGACCATTTGCGACCTTCATAGCTTGCTTCCAAAAGCACAGTCAATGCTGTCATCATGTAATGTTTTGCTTAATGACTGCACATGATTTGTTTAACAACTGCAGCAGAACTGACATTCTAAGATGTGTATTTCACTTAAATATTACATTATATAATGATGGAGATGCCAATTCCAACTGCAGTCATCAAGTGAGGACTATCTGTAATTATTTTGTAAAGATTGGAATTATTTTAGGCAACAAGAGCTATCTTATAATGCAGTATCTTAGTCTTTCAGAAACATATCCTTAAAGATATTTTACTGTATTTTCCATAATCCCTGATCAGTGGTCAGTTCTAGATGATACTAGCTTGGAAAAGCTACAATTGCTTCATATTTCTTGCGTAAAAATGACTCTGGGCATACATTTAAGCCCTGCCCTCTTAGTCATTTTATCTTCCAGATGTACCCACCCTAGAGAAGACCTGTTTAGAATTTAACAAGCAATAAATAACTTTTTGCTAGAGCATTTCCAGCCTTGCAGATGTTAAGGTAGTCTTTGACTTATGACAATTGAGACCAGAATTTCTATTGTTAAGTAAGGCGGCTGTTAAGTGAGTCATAATCAATTTTACAATCTTTTTTGCATGGTTGTTAAGCAAATTGCTTGTTAAGTTGTTAAACACAGTTGTTAAAGGAATCTGGCTTTCCCCACTGACTTTGGTTGTCAGAAGCTGGCTGGGAAAGTTGCACATAGCAATCATATGACCTGGGATGCTGCAACTGTCATAAATGCATACCAACTGCCAACCATTTGAATTTTGATCACATGACCATGGAGATGCTGCAACAGTTGTACTGTAAGTGCAAATACCAGTTGAAAGTCACCATTGTGACTTCCAATGCTGTTGTAACTTGGAACAGTCACTAAACAAATGGTTGTAGTCAAGGACTACCTGTATTAAGTGCTTTGTTTTCAAAGATATTTTATTCAATCTAGGAAAATTAATAAGTAACAAGTATTCGAAATATGTCCACTTTATAAAAAATACTGAGCTCATGAAATCAAAATAGATTTTTTTCTAGCATTATTTTACAAATTATATTGGCCTATTGGCTGATTTAACAGAGTAGATACTAACAAGTAATTACATCAGCTATGTATTCTGGTAGTAGCTAAGAATGGCTTATTTATTAACTTGCTTTCCCAAGAGAAACACACTTTTCAAATGTGTGTGGCAAAAGTATGTGAACCTTTGCTTTTAGCATCTGGTGAGGCCCCCAGGAGCAGTAATAACTGCAACTAAATGTTCCAAGAACTGTTAATTCAGTCCTGCACATTGGTTTGGAGAACGAATTCAACTTAGGGATGTTGGTGGGCTTCCTTAATTCAAGACCTTCCACAACATTTCTATAGGATTAAGGTAAGGATTTTAATTTGGCCATTCCAAAACATTAAATTTCTTCTCCTTTAACCATTCTTTAGTTGTACGACTTGTGTATTCAGTCTTGCTGAATGACCCACTTTTTCTTTTCAACTCATAGACAGATACTCTGATGTTGTCCTGTACAATTTGCTGGTACAATTCAGAATTCATAGTTCCATCAATGATGGCAAGCCATCCTGGTCCAGAAGCAGCAAAGCAGCCCCAAACTGTGATACTGCCATTACCATGTTTGATAGATGGCATAAGGTTTTTATGCTAAAATGCAGTGCCTGTCTTTCGCCAAACATAATGCTTTTCATTCAAGCTAAAATTATCTATTTTAGGCTCATCTGTCTACAGAATATTTTTTCAAAAACTTTCGAGCTTATCCACATGGCTTTCACAAACTGTAGATAGGCAACTATGTACTTTTTGGAAAGTAATTGTTTTCTCCTTGCAACTCTGCTATGTACATCATTATTGCTCAGTATTCACCTATTGGAATTCTCATGAACACTAAATCCATGAGCAATCTCTAGTTCCTTAAACATTATCCTGATTTTCCTTGAGAACTTCCACAGTATTACACATATTGCTTTTGGGGTGATCTTGGTTTGTCAGCCACTCCTGGGAAGTCTAACAATGGTGTAGAACAGTCTATTTGTATACAATCTGCCCGACAGTAGACTGGTAGAATCCAAACTCTTTAGAAACAGTTCTGTATCTTTTTCAGCCTGATGAGCATCAACAATTAATTCAGAATCTCCTTTCTTCAAGTCACGACACACTTCTACATACTTGCATTATGAAGATCAGACTTTGATAGCAAATACCCAAAATTCTGTTGTTTAAATAAGACAGGACTTCAGTCATACCTGATTATCATCCCACTGATGACATTGATAATGACCACTCTAATTTTCTCTTTGAATAAACTGATAATACTAGAAGTTCACATACTTTTGCCACATACAACTATGTAGCTTTGGATCATTTTCCCCAAATGAACAAATGAACAAGTATAATGTTTTTGATTCATTTAATTCTTTTTATCTAGTTTAGGACTTGTGTGGAAAACAGATCACATTTAAGTTATATTTATGCAGAAATATAGCAAATATAAATGGATTTATAAATGTGTAAGTATCACTATACATACATCAGCATTAGTTTTCATGTTTATTTAATTTTACCTGAACTTCTGAGTTAGAATCAACTGGTTGAAGTATAAACCACGTTTCCTTGCCAGAATATATGCTCAAATCTTCTTTTTTGATAGCTATTTTACCTAAAAGAAAAATAGAGTGGGTAAATTAACTAAAAAAGTATTACGTCTATCTAACACAGCTCTAGAAAAGATCTGCATCAGAATACTCTATATCCTAAACAACATCTTTAAAATACAATCTTCCAGTACTTTGCATTCTAGCATTAGGAAACTGTGGTAAATGTAACTAGCACTGTTTGAAGATGAATGAAGGCAAAATTTCAGAATAAAATGTCTGGTTTTACATGTTATCCCAGAATATCCGATTCAGACTGATGATAGTTCAAATGGAATGCATTAATTTAGTCATTTGGGATGGAAAATCACCTGAGCTTCACATCATGTAGAACAAATATTTTATATTTTAAAGAATGGAATGCATGTCCTTGATCAATAATTTTATATTTAATATAACAAAACAACCCATGAATATTAATATATCAATTGTTATTCCTTACCTATACGCAGGTCCCTCTGTAGAACATTTTTGTCATAAATATAGAATGATAAATATTGGAATATTCTTGGTATTTCAAAGTAAAACTCTTCTCCAAAAAATGGACTGTGAAAACAAATTAGCAAACTACCTGATTATTTTGTACCGTATTACCTTATCTGCATTATATTTGTAAGTTACAAATTTTAATAAAAAGATTCTGAACGTAAGTCCCTTTCAAGGAATTATTCTGCTAATTTTAGCATAGTGTTCCTAATTAACATTAGGATAGATATTTTATTAAACAGTAACTCCTCAGAACCTTTCACTGTTTTTGCACATGCCATTCTCTATACAAAAACTCCAAAAACTTTTTGGAAACTGTCTACTATCAAGTCTTACCTGTTTCCAGAATGCCCTATGAATGATGGCTATGCTTGATTTGTAAGGTAGATTGTACCTCAGGAGAATATAAGGAACAAACAAAAAAAAATTAAATCTTAATTCAGGAAAGCAAATATTATTTAGTAGGCCCTACTGTAACTTGTTGAGGTGAACCTTATGAACAGAGTGCAGAATAGGCCAGTAAAAAAAATGGGAGAAGTGACATTTTATGTGAAGAAAGTCCGTATGTGCAGGCATCCAAGAATCTGAGCACAAAGGTCTAATTTAGAGAGCTTGCCTAGGACCACAGAGAAGGATAAATAGCAAAAAATATTTTCTTGCTGGCATGATACCGATTGCCAGGTCAGGTAGAAGATAGGGATAATGCTGTTCCAAGCTAGAATTCAGAACCTTCTGGGAGGAAAGATGCATTAATAATGGAGACTTAAAATAACCACATTTCCATTGGAAAACAACTTAGCAAATATTGCAAAGTCACAAAAAATCCTCTGTGGTCTTGCTTATGGTTTCATTTTCCAGAAAAATGAGAAGATTGGCTGTTCCAATATGATCTAATCAATAAGGAGGTTTTCATTGAAGAGCTAAAAGCACTAGAAATCTTGCGAGGAAATGACCATATCATCAGATACTAGAATGGGAGAGTTAAATCTCATACAGTCAGTGAGGGACACGATCACAAATCTTTAAACAAAGAACAGAGCTTTCCCCTACCCTAAACTGGGACTAAGTAATGCTTTATGTAGAGCATGCAAAATACAAAAACAAAAAGGTCTGAAATCTATGAATAGTTTGCAACTGAAACACTGTCATCACTGGAATTCTGTCATTATGGCTTTGTAATTTTTCCAAAAGAAAAATCACTTATCAGGAATGCTTGGATTTGAATTTGCCTAATTGGTTCCAGTCCTGCCTTGCTAGCAGTAGTCCAACATGCAGAAAGAAAAACTGGAGATGGTTGTGCATGCACATTAGATTTTAGGAGAGCCAATTTCAAGAAGTTAAAAAAATGCTGGGTAGGTCAACTTGGACAGAAATCCTTGGGTCAAAGGAAATAGAAGAGGGTTGGCAACTTCTCAAAAGCAAGATACTTGTGGTGGATTGTAGTCTGGATTCCCAGGAGGGAGTGGCTGCTTTCCAGAGGAAAGCTTGAAGTTTGGTCTGTAGGAATGAAGTTAAAATGGCTGCTCCCTAGCAGTTCACAGAACATATATACAGTTATGCAGATAGTCACTTTAGTTTGCAAGATTCAGTCTATTAAAAACAATAAAGAAAACTACTCAGAAGTAATTCCACGTGTTCTTGGTTCTTGAGCCTGATAGTACTGAATATACACTCTCTATTTCAGTGGTTCTCAACCTTTCTAATGCCGTGACCCCATAATATAGTTCCCCATGTTGTGGTGACCCCCAAGTGGGTGTGGCCACCAATAAGAGGGAGTAGGACAGCTAGGGAAAAGGGAAAAAAATGGCGGACAGCGTGGTTTGGCGACCCCCGTGAAATGGTCATTCGACCCCAAATGGGGTCCCGACCCACAGGTTGAGAACCACTGTTCTATTTCAATGAAAAGGGAAAAAAAAGTCACAGAAAAAAATGTGGAAGCATGAACAATTTTCATCTAAATAAGAATCAAAAAGATTATTTAGGAAAAGGAGAGTAGATACAATCACCAAGAAAACATACCAGCAATTAGCCAATAACTTTAGAAATAATATTGGGATAGGATGGCGAACAAAAGAATTCTGAGGAACAAGAGGCCTTTTTAAATGATGTCAGAAGAGAAAGAAAAAGGGGATATGAAGAAGATTATAGGATGGAAACATGGATGGGTAGAGGGCAACATTTTTCTACTTTGCTTTTTTCTTCTCTCCATAGGGGAACCCCTCAGATGGTTGCAAGCAGAACAACTGTCATAAGAAATAGTAATCCAAGATAATTAGTCATCAGTTAAGTCCTATATCAATTACCTCTTAGAATCTTGAAGGAACACATTACAGATGTTTTCTCAAAATCCTTTTCTTTTATGTTTGAGAAATCATGGATGGACATTAGTGCTGAAGGACTGGAGAAGGGGAAATGTTGTATACTTATAGATGGGTCAGCAGTCAGTTTTTAAGCAAATGTATCATTTGGCAGGAGCTAGCATGGATTATTAAGAACTGGTCATGCCAAATCAACCAGTTATCCTTTTTAATAAATTGACTGGTTTAATTGAGTATGTTGAACACAGTGTAACTTGTCTTCAGAAAGCATTTGATAAAGTCTCCTATGAAATCCCAGCAGAGAAGATGAGAAGACAATTTGGACTATGCTACTTCAGAAGGATGGATACAAAGCTTGTTGAACACCTCTATTAAGTGCAGATTTCTGTCAAGCTGGAAAGAGATGATTGGCATAATTGGTGATTTTATTTATCACCCAGCCAGCTTTCATGCCTAAGAGAGCCTAGAACTCAGTTTCGTGATTCCTATAAGCATCTTTACTACTGTGCCAAACTGACTTTATGTGAGATAAGATGGCTATATAAAGCGAAGAATAAATAAAGCAGGGTTCCATTCTAAGCCCTGTACTATACAATGTATTTTTATATGATTGATAAATGGTTTGTTGTTGTTAGTTGTGAAGTCGTGTCCGACCCATCGCGACCCCATGGACAATGTTCCTCTAGGCCTTCCTGTCCTCTACCATCTTCTGGAGTCCATTTAAGCTCACGCCTACTGCTTCAGTGACTCCATCCAGCCACCTCATTCTCTGTCGTCCCATTCTTCTATTGCCCTCAATCTTTCCCAGTATTAGGCTCTTCTCCAATGAATCCTTGCTTCTCATTAGGTGGCCAAAGTATTTGAGTTTCAACTTCAGGATCTGGCCTTCTAAAGAGCAGTCAGGGTTGATCTCCTCTAGGACTGACCGGTTTTATCGCCTTGCAGTCCAGGGAACTCGCAGGAGTCTTCTCCAGCACCATAGTTCAAAGGCCTCAATTCTTTGGCGCTCAGCCTTTCTTAAGGTCCAACTTTCACAGCCATACATTGCAACTGGGAAAACCATGGTCCTGACTATATGTACTTTTGTTGGATGATGTCTCTGCTTTTTAGTATGCTGTCTAGATTTGCCATAGCTTTCCTCCCCAGGAGCAAGCGTCTTTTAATTTCTTGGCTGCAGTCCCCATCTATGGTGATTTTGGAGCCCAGGAAGATAAAATCTGTCACTACCTCCATTTCTTCCCCATCTATTTGCCAGGAATTGAGAGGGCTGGTTGCCATGATCTTGGTTTTCTTAATGTTGAGTGGTTAGATATGATCTAATTTACATATGACACAAAGATCTGAGGGATAATAAACATTGTATAGGACAGTCAAAATTCAGGGAAATCTGGAATTTTGGAATTTCTGGAACAACTGTCTGAAAATTAGACATACATTAGGAAGGACAAATATAATGTCCTTTGTTTACATAAGAAAAATTAAATGCATGAGTGCAGAGTGGGAAAGATCATACTGGGCAACAGAATATGCAAAAAAAATCTGAGTGTTTTACTGGGTCACTAGTCTCAATTGGCCAAACAGTGCGAGGAAAAAGATTACACTGGACAAAAAAGGTTTCAAAAGTTTTATTTCCTGAAGTGATTATGTTAGTCCCCTTCAACTGAATACAAATATAATTTCAGAATTACTGTAGTACCTAGGAATCTTGAGAAATATGAAATTAACTCTTAATGATTATTTTTTTACTTGCATAATGTTTCTGATACACTCCATGAGTTCAACCGAGCCAAAAGTGTTTTGCTGATTTTTGTTTGTACTCAGAGTCCAATGCATCTCGCTGTAGTGTCCAAAAGTAGTCAGCCAACATTGATGGATTCCAGTTGCCCTGATACTGTTTTTCCATTGTGGAAAAATCCTAGCGAAATCTTTCACCATGTTTGTCACTGACTGCACCTAGATTTTCAAATCCAGGTGTGAACGAAGAAAATGAATCTTCAGTGACATATTGTACTTCATGGTCTTGTATGCTGTAAGACATTTGTCAACTAGTTGAATGTAGTTTGGTGCTCTAGTAGATCTCCACAGATATTCCAGTTGGATTTAGTGCAGTGGATATATTTCAACAACAGTTATATGTTTTTGTATGCTTCTTTCATGTGTGCAGCATAGCCAACATGTACTGAAAAGTGTACATTGCCATTGTGTAAAAACAGAAGAGTTTTATAAAATGGTACATGACAGGTTAAATTACAGGTTAATTTCATGATTAGCAGTCAAAAATCTATAAGATATCCCCAAAAGTGCTCAGAAAGCAAAACTGTTTTTGTCCAGAGTTACATGCAACCCAGGGCTGCGTCAAGAGAACTATACAAGATAAATGACTTGTTTTCTATTTTGCACTGGTCAGACAATATCTAAAAGTCCTGACACCAAAGTTTAGGACAAATATGTCCAGAGAATAGCAACCAAGATCTCAAAGAATATGAAAGAAAAAACTTATGAAGAAAAGTTACGAGATGCTGAATATGTTTATTATGAGGTAGAGATGCCTGCAGGAAGATAGGACAGCTGTTTTCAAAAAACTGAAGTCTTGTTCTGTGCTGCACTAGTGGGCAAGACAAGAAATTATGTTTTTAAATTACAAAGAAACAGACCTTAATTGGGCATCAAGAAAAAATATTTACATTAACAGATGTTTAGCAGTGAAACAGGCTTGCCATAGGAAGTGGTCAACTCTTTTACTAGAATTATTAAATTGAAGCTCAAGAGACATCTTCCAGAGATGTGGACTAAGGAAGCTAGATGAGATTATTCTAACCCAAGGCTTCCTTCCAACCCTTATAATCTATTATTTACTTCTAGAATCTACCAAGCCAACTCTGACGACTTTATGATGGAGGAAGAAATTGAGTTGTCCAAGACTGTTCCTGGATCAACAAATTTTGCACATTTCTATTCCTTCTGTATGCTCAGTTCCAATTAATAGAAACACAATATAACAATTAGAGCTCTGATGAACATCTACTACACTAAGTAATATATTTAGACAATCAACAGTATATTAATATTATAAATGAATAAAATACCCCTTCAATTTTCTAACTTAACTAAGGTTTGCTTTCTAACTAAGATTTACTTTCAGTAAGTAAAACTGATGTCAAGATTAGAAGCTCACCTTAAAGATTTCTCTACCACTTGAGTACGAAATACCTCTTCTTGATCCAAATTGATTGTACAAAAGCAGTCTCTCATTTTATTTGGTCCTGGATATGGCACTAAGTTTTTGGCTTGACCTGTTGACAAAATGAAATATTTTTAATACCATGTAGAAGAAAACCATGGTTCAATCAAATGGAATGTTGAGATGATTTTATTCTCATCATGTTAAAAAAATAACAACATACTGAAGTAAGTAGCCAATAAATATTATTATTGTATTTACTGCTAAAAATTACTCTACCACAATTTGGAGTTCTTGTGGTGAAACACAATTTCCATAAATCCCATCCTGTATTATTAGGAAACACAAAGAAGAAAGTCACAAGATTGAGAAAAATGCAATCACATGGACACATCACAGAACTCTATTTAATTTAGCCTAATGAGACATCATATTTCAATCTCATCCAAATCTCACCTAATTTTTATTTATACTTCAACTATTTTGAGAAATAAACCTCTCAGAAATCTACTTTAAGGATAACTGTACAGCCCCATATTAAGACATCTATAAATAAGATAACTCTAGTTTATTAGAGATATTTAGGAAACTTAACCTACTATCTCAATAATCTTATTATCTAAAAATATTACAGAGACGCTATACAAATACTAGGGATTTGTAGTGAACTGAATTCTACTTGGAAAGAAAAAATAATGGCATAAGCAGGATGAATTAATTAAGCAAATACTTTTAAAAAATGAAGAAGCTTCTTGAATGAGAATTGAAATGTCTTCAAAGAAAAACAAGAAAATCTAGTTGCCTCTTGAAAAAGCATCTTTGGGACAACCATGACCTGGATGACTGAGAATCTCCATAGACATTTAGCTTTTTAAAAAATGTTTCTTCTTGGGCTTGTGTGGCCAGAAAAAGGCATGTTTGATAGTGAAGGCACCATATCTCATTTCTCCCTTCAAATCTAGATTGTTACACAACACTAACAAATACTAAATGGAGATAAAATATATATATAAAATTAAATATATCACTAATTTTTATTAAATACGTAAGCAGGATAAAATGAAGTATTTCTAAAAAATGGTTTGTAGGAATTGGGATATATTTTAATCACAGGTTCTTGTTTATTAAAACTAAATCCAGCATCTCAATGAGAAACTGATACAGTACAGAAATTTGATTGGGATAAGATCAAATACCGCTGGCTAGCAAGCCTACGCCAGTATTTTGAAAGTGTAATATACACTATAAATACTAAAAATTTTGAAAGCAGGCATGGTTTTAAATCAAATCTAGAACAGAAGACCATATTGCAAGATACATTTTCATTGAAAACATTTTTCTTGCAATTATTTCAAATGCGTGAGAAAGGAAACGGGTTACATTTGACTTACATGAAAGTACTTCAGTTCCTCCCATTTCAACAAAACCACTACATCCTGTTTGTTCTGGTTACCCTAAAATTGACTCATAACATTATCACTTTTTTATTCCCTATATCTCAGACTATAATTTTTACATTTTCTATCTTCAAGTTAAGATGCACCTTGGTTATATTTGCCAGAAACATCCTATTAACTTTGTCTATTTTGATAGCCACTGTTATATCATGTTTAATAATAATAAATATAATATTCTCCTCCCAAACTGTGGTCTTTTATACAATTTCCGGATAAATCACACGCAAGTAACAAAACATTTCCCCCTTGAAAAGGTTTCTTGTTAAACAAGTCCCAATTTTACCCAAAAGACCAGTTTTTTTAGAAATTAAAATCTATAAATGCTAAAATTTTCATTAAAATGTCATGGTTGCAGTTATAACTATTTAACATACTAAAATTATAATAAATACAAATGAATTTCCTAAACAAATATACTGTTATCTACCAATCAAACATGGGTATGCAGTTCAATTTTTTTCAGTCAAAATAAATTTCAGGTAAAGGTAAGATGTTAGAGAATCATTGTTATGAATTGGTAAAAATCATTAGTCGACTCCTTTGAACTAAATCATTGCAAAGGCATTTTCATTGGTCTTATTTATTCACTTCAGAGATTTTTCTCAGTAGGAACAGAAAGAATATTTGCATTATTTCACATTTTCCTCAAAGTTTAAAAATATCTAAGAATTGGAATGAAAACAGGAAAAGTGATACTTCTATTCCAAGCTATAAATAAATTTGGAATGTAGAAGTAAAAACCGTTCTACAAAAATTTCAGGACAAGATACATTTTGAACTATGATAATTCATTTATTAAGGACAGTGTTGATCAATAACCCAAAGGGTTGCTAAACATGGAATTGTACTGTATATGTCATACACGTCATTTTCAAATTTTGATAAGCACTGGTGTTTTTCATTTATAGTCGTTCTAATAATTTTTAAGACTTAAAGCTGCATTTGTATATATGTGTACATAAAGTTTCTTACACATAAAAATATGATTTAAACACTATTGTAGTGATGGCTGCATTCATTCAATCAGATGTACACCATTTACCAAATACGTACATGAAGACTTATCAATGGCAAGCTCAATTTAAATCAGTAGTTTTTTTTGGCATTTAATGTGAGGACATCTTGTTATACTACTAGATATGCAGTTGGTTTGCAAGACTACTGTAATTACAGTTTTACATAACATTCACATGTTCATTTCTCTCCTAATGCAGCATCCACTTGTAACTTACTGTAAAGATCAGGTGATAGCAATGGCATTAATAAGTGGACTATAGGTGTCAAATATTGTTTTGACAGGATACAACCTAGAGTGTTATATATAGGATTTGTTAGTAAGTATTCTTTGGTATGTTACTTTTAAGCCTTAAATGTTATTTTAAAATTCTCCTTCATTGGTATTTTTAAATCTGTCAAAATACAATTTGTTGTTCAATAGACTAACATAATTAACCCTCTGGAAACTTAATTATGAAGAGAAATGTCAAGGATTTGTCCTATAAGTCTACCTTGCTATATAGCCAAATTAAATTTCACCTAAAACATTTAAGTGTTACTACACAGAACAGTTTCCACATAAAAAGTCAGAATTGGGAAACATCTATCAAATGTAACATGTAATAAAAGCTTTCAAGTAATAGTTAGGAAATGAGAGTTAGCTCCAGGCCAGAGAAAAAGTGGACTGCCTTGCTTAACTCCTGAATCTCTTTAAACAAATACTTGATTCCAAAACTTACACAAATATCCCCATTTACTTCACATGCCAGTTTTTACCACCCTGATGCTCTCAGATCCTAATGGATTACAACCCTCCCATTCCCAGCTAAAAAGTAATGTTATACCCACACATTATCTATCCCGGTGCAAAATCTTCCTTTGAAGGTCCCTTTTATTTATTTTTACATCAACTCTCATCTTCAGTCACTCCTCTTTCTTTCTGATAGGGTTGCACGCGTGTATTGATTTCTCATTATTTACGTTTATTTTCGAAAGGTTTGGACCGCTTTATTCTATGAAATCTGAGTGGCTTACAATACCCCTCCAATAAGAGGGGTAAAAGCAACCCATCAAAACAAGAAGGGGCACCAACAAGTAAATTAATCACAATTACTGCATTACTGATGCACTTCCACCCAGACTGCCTGTAGCTTTTAGCCATGAGGCGGACTAATCTATTCCTACACAAACGCACACACCAGCCGAAAACACCCGGGGAAGCAGCAGAGGTTGGAGGGCTGGGGCGGATGAGTCAGTGAGGACGCTACAAGGCACAGGTACTTCCTTCCGGCTCTGCCGTTTCGTCTCCGACCTCCGCCCTCACACGCACTTCCCTCACCCTCTCTTTCCGGCCACGGACTTGTACATATATATACACACACAGAACCGGGTCCGGATAGTCGACCCCTCCCAGTGACTCACAAATCTTTCCGCGGAGAGTCTGTAGCACTCGCACCTCTTCGTCGCCCCCCTCGCCAGCAGCCATAGCCGGGGGCCACCCGCCGCGCGGCCAAGAAAAAGGCCAAACGGCTTCCGCACGCGCCCGGACGCGCTCGACTGTGTACAAACCGCGTAGACCTACCCCGTCGCGGTACTGACGGGCAAAGCCCTAACCACCGCAGCCACGCCCACCGCTCTCGGACTGTTCTCTTCTGCCATTGGTTGGAAGCTCGAGGGTGGGCGGCAGGGCACGGATGCCATTCGCGCATGCGTACTCTTTCGGCTTTTCTTTCCCCGGCAAGTGAGCGGATGGACTTGGGGGTTATCAGTATGATACATGGCCTCTGCTCTTTGGAGAAGGCAGCTGCCTTATCTTTCCGTTAGGCATGACTAAGAGAAAGGCGGGCGGCCGGAACTGTCAGCTGTTACTCAATCTGATGCGGGCCCAGCGTCATTTCCAGATCTAAACCGCACTAAAGAATCAGTGCTTTTTACATATCAAAACCAATGTTGATTTGGAAAATGGAAGGAGTTTTGAAGAAACTGGAAAGGGGGAACGGCTCTTTCGGCAAAGGCTGGAGCATACCATGAGGAGGGAAGGCTACAAAAACGCACGAGGCTATCAATTGGGCATTTCTATATTAGTGATGGGTCGTTTCCCTTTTTCAATTAAGGCCAAATATTTTGTGTATGTGTCTTCGAGTCAGTCTTGACTCCTGGTGACTGCCTGGAAAAGCCCCTGGGTTTACTTGGCAGGACTTCAGAAGTGGTTTGCCATTGCCTGCTTTTTAAGGTTGAGAGAGAGTGACTAGCCCATAGTCATTCTGCTGGTTTCATGCCTGAGTTGGGATTAGAACTCATGGTCTCCCAGGGTCCAGCCTGCTACCTTATCTCTATGACAAACTAAGTGCAAACTCCCTGTCCTCAGTCGGAGACATATACAGGCTCTTTGCTGTACTGTATCCTATATTTCCTTTACATTCCAATTGGCTGATTCTGGGTAACAAAGCTGGGCAGATGTTTTTGAAGACTGCTATGAAATAATGCTGAAATAAGGAAGATATTATTTTAACACTGGTTCATCTAAAGATGAGGTCAGCCACCTCATTCCTGGACTGGGAATGAGATGAAGGCAGCATCATAGAAACAGCAAAAAAGTTATTTACCAGGTATGTCTGTGCTGTGATTAGGTGCCAGTGAGGAAAAGTGCTCTTGATTATAGACTATAAAAAACTTCATACTAACTACCTGCACTCACTCAAATTATCCTACTTCGGATACATAATGTGAAGACCCAGCTATCTGGGTTTTTCAAGAAAGAAATAATAATCATGTAATTGTAATTGAATGTTATAATTACAGTTGCAGCAACATTGTTGATTTTTCTGGTTACCAAAATTTTTTGAGTTGCATCTAGTTATGTTGTTGTTGTTGTTGTTAATTGCGAAGTCGTGTCCGACCCATTGCGACCCCATGGACAACGTTCCTCCAGGTCTTCCTGTCCTCTACTATCTTCTGGAGTCCATTTAAGTTCACACCTACTACTTCAGTGACTCCATCCAGCCATCTCATTCTCTGTCGTCCCCTTCTTCTATTGCCCTCAATCTTTCCTAGCATCAGGCCCCTCTCCAGTGAGTCCTTCCTTCTCATTAGGTGGCCAAAGTATTTGAGTTTCAACTTCAGGATCTGGCCTTCTAAAGATCAGTCGGGGTTGATCTCTTCAAGGACTGCCCAGTTTGAACGCCTTGCAGTCCAAGGGACTCGCAGGAGTTTTCTCCAGCACCATAGTTCAAAGGCCTTAATTCTTTGGCGCTCAGCCTTTCTTATGGTCCAACTTTCACAGCCATACATTGCAACTGGGAAAACCATGGCCTGTACTATACATACTTTTGTTGGCAGGGTGATGTCTCTGCTTTTTAGTATGCTGTCTAGATTTGCCATAGCTTTCCTCCTCAGGAGCAAGCGTCTTTTAATTTCTTGGCTGCAGTCCCCATCTGAGGTGATTTTGGAACCCAGAAAAATAAAATCTGCCACTACCTCCATTTCTTCCCCATCTATTTGCCAGGAATTGAGAGGGCCGGATGCCATGATTTTGGTTTTCTTAATGTTGAGTTTCAAGCCAACTTTTGCACTCTCCTTCTTCACCCGCATCAAGAGGCTCTTTGGTTCCTCTTCACTTTCTGCCATTAGAGTGGTATCATCTGCATATCTTAGGTTGTTGATGTTTCTCCCGGTAATCTTAATTCCAACTTTTGATTCATCTAGCTCTGCCTTTCTCATGATGTGCTCTGCATATAAGTTAAATAGGCAGGGCGACAGTATACAGCCTTGCCGGACTCCTTTTCCAATTTTGAACCAATCAGTGGTACCATGTCCGGTTCTCACTGTTGCTTCTTGACCCGCATATAGGTTTCTCAAGAGACAAATGAGATGGTCTGGTACTCCCATCTCTTTAAGAACTTGCCACAATTTGTTGTGATCCATGCAATTGAAATAATATAATTTTTTTTAAGTTTGAAAATTTGGGACCACCATCAGCAAGGTGGATGACTCAGTAACATTAGCAATGAGCATATCATTGGAAAACCTGAAAGAACTGGTTAGAGAGTGATCATCATAAAGAAAATCTTGATGCTACCATAAGCCACCATGCATGGACTGGAAATATCCTTAGGACCAACCAATTATGGCTATGAATTAGCTATTTAGGTATTTCTTTATGGCCATCTTGTGGCTGTGCTGAAATTTGTAGTCCAGATATGGTAAATGTACTTCATAGGCATGAAGGTAAAATACAAAAATTGCTCTGTGGAAATTGACATAGTGTTATTAAAGATTCTTCAAACTAGTAACTTTGCTTTTTAATGGGAGTTCTAACTGTAGTTTCCTATACATAAGCAGAAGTGTCTGCAAGATGGGATCAAAAAGTTCAAAATGAGGGATTACTTTAATCATACTCCATTGGTTGCCATCTTGCCTTTTGACCCTAGTAAGTAGATATCTCTGTATCATTAGGAGATTTGCATATTTTTCAAGCTGTAAAAAAGCCCCAGTATATGAAATTGCTGGCTAGATTCATACATTGTGCCACTCAGTTTATTATGAATATTTGAATACTGATTTATTGAATTGTATAACCATGGTTTAGTGAAGCATTATTTGTATTCATATAATCTAATAATGCAATGCAAATTATGTTATGGAATAGTATGCACTTCTCCAGCTGTCTGACCAGGTTTTTATCATAGCCTGTGTATCCTTCCTGTGAAGTATTTTCAACTGCTAAGCCATGGTTGGCTTAATCATGGTTTATTGAAGAAACAGTTGAATTTACATAGCAAAAGTAAAAAAGTATAGCTTATAAACCACAGTGGCTATTGGGTTGAATAAAATCCATTTTTAATTGTAAGAGTTGGCACAATTGTTGGCACTAAAATGGGCTTGTGAATGAAAATTCCTTTCTAGAAAGAACAGTGAATGCCACTATAATTATCTTTTTTCTTCCTCTGTCTTGCTTGATTTCTAGTAATGTTTAATAATATAGAAAAACAGCTTTCTACCTTTGTATAGATCATATTTCAGATTAAATTATTCAGGGCAAAGTAATAAAGGAATCTAAAGTTGAAGAAAATAGTTTTCGGTATATTCAATGGGATTTTCTCTTTCAGCAACGTACTATCACAATCAACAGAAATGCCTTTAAAATTACAGAAAAAACTTTTTTAGGTAAAAGGAAATTATATCAGTAAGGCCTGACCTGTACTGTACTAAGTTTTTTTTAGTATCATTTCACAGGCAGTTACTGTATATCACCTAAAATATACGTGGAGTGTAAAGAAACATCAGCAGCAAAATTTACAGGGCTACTTTCACATATAACATACTTAGCTCTAATGTGATTCGCTTTTGGCTTCATAAGTAATAACTCATAGCTTAGTGTGTTGTGCTGCATATATATTGCTTGTTTAATTTCTGACTTAGCCTCCCTGTCATTTCCATTCATCCTTTACTGATTTGCAACCAGAGATCCAGAAAGAGACTTAAAAATTACAAGATATGTGTTGCTTGCTTTGAATGAGTTTCAAATTAATAATGTGTGATTTAAAAAAAATGATGTTTTTTTGAAGATATATTTTTAGCGAGGAGTAGGTGGATGTAAAACAGAAGGTTTTAGAACACTGAGTGCAGATGGATATGTAACTTTTGGATGTAACTCGCTGTAGAAAAGGAACATTAATAACACAGCAAAAACTTTTAATAGGATATAACCGAAGAAAGTGAATTATTTTGAAGTAATGCCAGCAAATTTTGGTATTAGTTACTACTCCGTATTTCCTAGAATTTATTTTAATTAGTAATACTTAAAGGCCATCTTAAGCATTCATATCCTGTGCTAAAAACTAATGCAGTATAGTATCCATCTGTTTCTAGAAGCATAATAACTCACATACTTTAACATGCTAATCTTGAATTTGGAAAGCTGGACTGTAGTGGCTAGTCATATGAATGTTATATAAAAGAATTAATGCTGACTAAGAGTTATTTTTGTTCATTTTTAGATCACAGAAGATGATTTATACACATCAAGATTCAGAAATTTATAACTTGTTCAAACTTCTTGGACTAAACTTCTTTCATTCCTGACATTTAAAATTCATTTTGAATCAGAGAATTGGTTTCAGAAAAAGTAATTGATTTATATTATGTAAAAGAATAACTTAACCAATTTGTAAACCAACCTGTTTCTTATTTTAGTATGCAGTGTTCCTGCCATACTACGTGTAGAGCAGGAGTTGTGAGACAAGCAAATAGTCCTGGTGGGAGAGCAACTAAAGTTCAGGAAACAAGGACAATAACTCCAAAACAGTAATAGGCTGCTAATTGTTTTAGCAATTGGCATCCTAGAACTGAACTCCTGAAGCTCTGACATGGAAGCAGAATTTCATTCCTGAATGTTCTTATTCACTTGTGTTAAGAGGACCTCTCCATATTCAACTATAATAATTAAAAAATGTTTTTAAAAATAGAAGCTCTCCATATTGAATTCCACATTATGGCAGTGGAGGATCTCAGAAAGGTTTCAAGGAGTAACTTCTTGTAACCCAAGGAGTTCCTAGTTTGGTAATGACACAGTACACATTGCACACACACAGAATAAAACATACTGTACACAAGCTGGGCAGAGGCATTAAACTAAGCCATAATGCAGTCTGTTGGGTTTGGGCATGTATTGATTAAATCCAATTGTGGTTTGTAAAGTATGGTCTGTAACGTAAGTTCCCAGAGATTCCAATATATTTAGTACTTAATTTTATAATCCTTGATTCCCACCAGTCTTCATGCCTTCCTGTTTGTTTTGTTTTTTGTTTAGATTATCAGGAAGGAAGAAAGGAAGGAAGGAAGGAAGGAAGGAAGATAATGAATGAATTTGCTGCTATTTTGATGAAGTCATAATAATATTTTGTAAAGGGAAAAAAGCTTGATTGTCTTAATGGTTGTGAATGTCAGTTTTTAATAGTTCTGTTAAAACAAAATGCATATACCATTATGTAGCAAACATTATATTTAACAATGTTTGCTTTAATTCTGTGTTGTAATATTTCTCCATTATGCTGATTAATAAAATTCCATTAATGAATTATAAACATAATATTGACATATTAAAATTGCTTTCTATAAACTGTAGTGAACAGGCAGAATTACAAAGTTAGCATGTTTTTATCCAAATATACAAAGCCCTCAAATGTAACAGAAGCTATTGTTTTCCATATGACTTAAACAGTTATAGAAAATATTTGTACAATTATCACTACATATAACCAATGTTGGCTTTGGTCTAGAATTATTGAGATATTGTTTTGCAAAGTCTCATAAAGTACTTATTTTAAACAGTTCGTAATATAATTTTATAAGTGATAGACTTTGATATGCAGAAATGTTTTATGTATATAATTAGAACTTTTTCAGTGCTTATATCGTGAGAGCTACTTTAGTCACGTGCACAATAACATTAGACAAGTTCAGAATAAATATGTTATCACATTTATAAGTATTTGTGTTATATAATGTGGAAATGTGAGCATAAAAGGCCAAAATTAGATGTGCCAAATAGAATGTTCTTTAAACGATACTTTTCCTATAATAAAATGTGGAGTGCAGTTTTCTACATTCTCAAACTGTTAAAAATGTGGATATGTTTTACAGAGAAAACTTAATTAAAGGACCACTATTTAGAGGATTTTAGATGCAATAGACCACATTATGGTCCTAACATTCTCCAGAATAGCAAGACAAGTCAACTGTATTCAAAATAGTCTGAGTGAGACAAAGTTATATCAATTTTTCATCATTTGTGACCACTTATATAATTTGTCTTATATTTTATGCAAAATTATGTGGATTAGTTGCTGTGAATAATTAATTAGTGATTTAATGGACATGGTATTGGGCATCCATCCCCTCTAGTTGGTACATTAAATTTGAGCTTCACTGTAATTTTCATTGACTAAGTGTTCTCTTTTATTTAGGCATCAACATGCCTAATAAAGTATCTCATTCAGAATAGTTTTCTTTAAAACTTTGCTTTTCCCCCCATATCAGTTTGATTGTATTTTTCTTTTATTAATATATGTCAATCATTTAGTTTGATCAACACAAATGAACATATAGTTGATCGATAAAGCTTGGAGATATCTTTATTTGAAGAATGTTAATTTCAGATGAAAAAACTCCCACACCCCTCTCCAAGAAAGGAAGGAAGGAAGGAAGAGAAAGAAGGAAAGAAAAAAAGAAAAAGAAAAAAAAATAACCAAAACCTTGTAGATATAGTTGATTAAACTTTCTGGTTGGTAGAAAGTTGTTGAATAGAGGATGCAACCCAAAACACTAATAATGCATTAGATTAAGAGAGTTACAGCTACTGTATAAAAGGATGATCTCTTCAGATAAGAATATTCTTTTTTCAATTTGACATTTATATAGCCTGTTGGGTAGAGAATCTGTTGGTATAATGCAGATAATTCAGACCCTCTTTAGACATAGCTAAGAAATATCAGCAGAGGAGATGGTAACACGAACCTCTGTACAAAAAGATTACAGAAGAACCATCTTATGCAGAATTATCAAAATTTCTAAGAAGGTTTGATCCATTTCTGGGTAATGATGCATTTTTACAACAGTCCTAATTTTAAACAGTAAAATAATCGGTATATTGGTTACATTATTATTATTGAATATATTACTAGGAGAGAAAGAGGGTGCTCACTGCACAGTGCCCATTAAATATGCAAAAAGAAAATATAAATACTGAAAGCCCACATTAAATTATTCAGGTATCCAGTTCTATACATCCTTGAGGTTAGGATTGGAGTGTCTAAATCCTATGGTAATTATACAAACTAGGGGGATGACTATATATGTAAAACACTGTGGAAATCAACTTGGAAATACAATTCAATAAATCCAAATATGAGAGTATTGGCCTTGGAGTAAATCAAAGTACCAAAACTACTTTCACACTCATGAGTGCAGCAGTATAGTTAAAATAAGATCAGAGTGCCTCTTTTTTTCTTTTTTTGAGCCTTGAACACATATTTAAAGGCAAACACACTCTGAAAATGTCAGCTGTAAGTTTTAGGAAGATTCCATGGAGAAATTTAATATTGTGTCCAGCTACCTGTTCCTGTACTGGATTCTTGCAGATTATTTCTTCTCAGAGGACAAGTCAAGCCTGGACCAAGTCAATGGGGAGAAATCACTGTATAGAGCAGACATACATGGGCATTGAGCTGATGGTCTGAATGCTCTGATGCTTGTAGACTAATGGTAAGAAAGTCTCTTCAACAAGATAGAGATCTTATTCCATGTGTGTAACTATGCTCATGAAGGAATTAGGTATAATGCTATCATATTTAAATTTCACTTACACATCAGTCTGCAAATCTGCAAATCTGATAGCACTAATATATAATGAGCTGATGACACATTGTGGTACATGTTAAGAATATAAATATTTATTATAATATATCTGGCTGATTGTATGATGAACCAATCATAACCTCTTACAAAATTGTTCGGTAACAACATATTCACACTTCAGAATGGCTGAGTGGACTACTCAAATAAGAAATGCTAGAATCTTAACCAGATGCTTATTGTGTACACATTGAACTAGGGCTAAATTAAAATTTTAAAACAGTGTTTGAACCAATTATGGAAGAAAGATGTAATTTCTTCTAGCAGAAAACACTTTAACTTTACTATATATTCTGAATGGATTTTATTCATTTTTTAATTGCCCAAAATGATTCATATCCTTAACAAGTTAGGCATATTTCCAGTACAATAGTAAATTATAATATCCTTTTAAACATTTCAGTTAAGCATATTCTTTTTTACATAAACTTTCTTCTGAGGGATATTAATATCTCCTTATACTTTTTTAGGCTTCATTAACTTCAGTATAGTTTCCAAAATTTGCTTTTTATGGCACATTTAAAATGTAAAGTATGCAATATATTTTTGTGAAAAATATATATCTCAAGTTTTAAGAACTTCCATAAATTTGGAATTTTTTTTTGCATTAATTACTTGCATCTATGGCCTTTCATCTTTCTATTTTAATCTTTGTTGCCTTATCCTTTTCTTACTCAGAGTCCAGCATCCAATACAGTATTCTGAATATTACTGGCTTTGAAACTTTCTGCATCAGTTAGGCATTTAGTTAGCAGAGGTTTAGCTGTTTCCTGTTGCTCTGAATCAAATAAATGTTGACTTTTATAAGATTTAGAGCTTTCATTAAACAAACAGTCTTTTCTGTCCTCTTGCTTGGGTGGTTTAAACAAATGCTTCTTCTGGTGCATCCCAAGAGCAGCTGCCGTCTTACAAACCTTGGGGCACTGAAAACATGCGTAGCCCTTTCCAGTGTGCTCACGCTTATGCCTTTGCTCATGATTCCTTTTGGTGGAAAGATATAAGAAGCCCTGAAAACAAAACTGACAGTGGTAGCGCTTTTCTCCTGTATGGATTTTTTCGTGTATTTTGAGTGTTTCATTGAGAGTGAATGCTTTGTTACAGTGTTGACAGATGAAATCTTTGATGGCAGAATGGGTGCGTTCATGCTTCTGTAAATTGCTAGAGATTGAAAAACGTTTCCCGCAGGTTTTGCAAAGGTAGGGTTTCTCCCCCATATGACACCGTTTATGCATCCTTAGGGTAGAATTGCTCTGGAAATGCTTTTGGCATAAATCACAAGTGAAAGACTCAGACTCTGTGGTCTCCCAGTGTGAGTGGTCATGGGATACTTCTGTAGAAGTATTCTCCCTTTCACAGAGCTTACAATAAAGATCTGGCATTTTCTCTTCTCCTTCTTGATTACAGACCTTCTCTTCAGGAATATTCCTAAGAGCGTAAGTGGTGACATAGGCCTTCTCACTTTCCTGACAGGAATTTCTGCTCCTGTATTTCTCTCTCCATTTTGCTTTTCTCATTTTTCTTAGTTGTTTAGATTTCTTTTTTGGTTTGTAATTGTAATATGGCCGCCAAGGTTTATCATTAGAGTCATGGTCGCTGATATCATCGCCCATTTCACTTTCAATGTCTGCCTGACAAACTCTAGACATGATTCTCTCTCTCTTTTCCCGTTCTGCAACCTGAACTGTCTGATCACCTTTGGATTCATATTTAGATTTTCTGCCTTTTTTGTAAAACAGTTTGGACCCCAAAATATGTCTTTTCACAATAGCTTCATTTCCAATTTTAACTGTTATTTGGCAAAGTGGAGCAACATTGCTGTCAGCAGATGTTCCTGGCAGTGCAGGTTTTGCGATATAAGTTTCAGTCTTACTTGAAGTTTCAAAGATGTGTGTAGGTGTGTTAGAAGGTATCCCTGTATTTGTTGTATATTTTACCTCCTTTGAAGTTGCTTCTCTGTCATATAGGGGCAACTTTTTCTTTTCTTTATTGCTTCTTGTTCTATTATTGCCACTGTCTGACTCATGTATAAGATCATTGCTCACTACTTGATTGATTGTAATATCTGAAGTTCCCTTATCACTTCTTCCTACTGCATTGACAGCATTACTGTGCATTATCACTGAGGAAACTCTTCCACTATGCACTATAACAGAAGATGCTGGATTGTTATAGCTAATAACAGAGGTTGAATTCTCATGGGAATTGCTATTACTAATTGCTTGACAAGAGGAATCATATTCCTGAGGACCAGAATTCTCAACAGAAGATAATGTCCTTCTGTTAGTGGGAGCATTATTGTTAAGATCTGTCCTTGATGAAATTTTCCAGGAAGAAACATTTGGAGGATTTTCAGATGTTGCTGTAGCATCACCATATGAAGAACTATCCAAAGAAATACTGGAAGCTGGCAACATATTGTGTTCAAAATTCAAGGATGACAGTTCAGAAGTGACAGTATTCTGAATAATACAGGTGCTAGATGGAACTTCATTAACTTGTACACTTTCATATGATGAGTTTCCGTAACTTTTATATGGTGCCCTTTTACATTTCATAGGCAAAAGCCTGTAAAGCTTGTAAGGATATACATTTGGTTTTAAGCCACCATTAGCTGTTTTCTTGTTTACACCAAGTCGGTGATCAATTGCATGAAAAGATTTCTGATGGTTTTTGAGTATATAGTATGTCATAAAAGTCTCAAGACAGAAGATACATTGGTATCGCCTTTCACCCGTGTGCCAGATTTCGTGTCTGGTACGGTACTCTGCTAACGCAAAGACTTTGTTGCAATAATGGCATGGATAGGTTCTTCTCCAAGAATGAACATTTGAATGTCTTCGGAGGCTAGACAAGGTAACATAGGTACGTTTACAAACACTGCAAGTATAAAGTATCTGTCCACCAACAACTTTAACAAAATGGTCTGTTTCTGGCATTGTACCATTTGTAGCAGGATAATCAGTAATCTCATTCTCAGTTTCTGTGAGCTCTGGGCTTACATACGAGGTACCAGTTTTTTCATTTGAAGGAGCAAAATTATCCAGACTATTCTGCTCATTTTCATTTTCAACATACGAATTATTCAGACCCCTACATTCTTGTTCATGAGTCTCTAGTCCAGCAATATTTTCAAACTGTTTGCTACAATATTTGCAAACTAAAGTCTCTTGAGATTGTGAATGAAGTTTAAGATGAGTGCTTAACTGAGTTTTATCATTAAATGATTTAGTACAACAATTGCACTTGTAAGGCTGTGGAATGTCCATAGCTATTGATCCAGAAAAGTTATCTGATTTATTTTCATTTTCCTTAGAAGATAAAATATTGGCTTTGTTTGCCTGGCATTTTTGAAAAGAATGGTTGTGGTCATTTATGACTTTATCGGGAGTCTCTGAACCGCTTCCCTTGTGGGCTGATATCTTTACAGTAGGAGCATCTGTAATCTGGGAGTTAAATATAGCCTTTGGTGCATTATATGAGCGTGTTACTGATTTAACTGGAGGCACTAACTCTGCAGCTTCAGAACAATCTTCACCTGTTTTATAAAGTGGCGTGTTTTCATAATAAAAGGAATTTTGTTGTAAAGCATTGCAACCTGTTGTAACAGCATAGGAATGTTCAGCTAATGTGCTGGCTCTTTCAACTTCTTTGCATGCATCAGTCCTGTCCAGATCACTATTGGACGCTTTATTTGTTTCAGGCATTTTTTTAAAACTTGCCCTCAGGTCAAGAGGAGAAAACAAATTAATACTACTTTCAGTTTCAAAAATTGAGTATGCATTCGTGATTCTTGGTCCATTTGTAATGGCTGAGTCTTCCTGTCTTTTTTCTTCTTTTACATCATTTTTTTCAGTATTGCAAAATGAATACAGACAAGGGGAACTGGAAAGGCTCTTTTCTGTAAGATCTTCTAAAAAAGTTATTCCCAATTTTTTGCCAGCAGCGGCAAGATCCACAAGAGACTCTTGTTTTTTAACAATTACTGTAGAACTATAGATGTAATTAAGTATCTCTGTGAACACTTCAGCCTTCAGGCCATCTAGTTCCAACACATGTCCAGAAACGCAGATTGTATGACTCCAAAATATATTTTTGAAATAAAGGCTTGAAGCAGCCAGGACATTACTATGGGCTTTGAATTTGGTGTCTTCTACAATTATGGTGACATCACATAAAATGCCCCGAATGCGTTGTTCATTTAATATGGAAAGGACTGTGTCACTGTGAAAGTCATCTTTGAGATCCTTTAAGTGGGACATGATGATCATCTGTTTAAATAAAGAAGAGATTTTAAAATCAACAAGATCAAATGCTAATACTTATTGTCCCCATACCCCATCACTAACTAATCACTCTCGGCCATTTGCACACAATATATACCTACAATACATACTAATTAAAATATCCGCAGTACAATTAAAACATATGAGATCAACAAACAAGAACAATAAATAAAGAAAAAGTGGATAAATATGAAGTTCTGAGGATACCTCAAGAATAGTTGTTTTCAGGAGTTTTTTAAAAGTCAATAGGGAATCTGATCTCCAGTGCAGACTATGCCAGAGCAGTGACATTGTTATAATTGACCAACAGAATTCAGAAACCATCAGTCAGTGCCAGCTTCTTTAGCCAAAGAGCAATTTTTTTAAAAAACATAGAAAGGTAACTACTATTATCATTAAAAAGCTAGCTCTCCTCCCTCCCTGATTTTAGTGTATATATGTATTCATCTAACTATGTATTTTGCCATAAAACAAAATCAGAATTGTTGCTATGGAGAATTGCTGCTTGGTCATCAATGAACAATTAGTCTTGCATACAAATCATTGCTGAAATCTGTGATTATGCATTTCCAACAGCTGCAACCCTCTAGGCATGATACGAGGAGAAAATATAATGATTTCCTAACTCTTATAGACCAGGGGGGGAAATAAAGAGTTTGATACATGATGCTTAAACAGGCAGGCAAATAACATTAGGCAGGCTTTTTAGGACTGTGAATTAAAACAATGGCATAAATTTGGTTAAGGTAGGCCAAGTAGTCACTACCTGTATCTTCTGCCATAGCGTTAACATAGCCATGATAGCACACACACCCCGCAACATTTGGACAACCATGATCTGCGGAAGGAAATGCAGAAAACCTTACCCTTTGCTGCCATCTAGTGGTGCCTGCAGATTTACAGTTCAGATCTTGTATGTCTAAATAAGAGCTTTTCTCTTGGGCAAAGGGAAGATACTGAACAAAGTGGAAAGTTAAGCAAAGGGGGAAAGGGAGATTTGGAATGACTGAGATGAGGGGAGATCTTCATATTTATTTGTTGCATTTATACAGTTGCCCATCTCGTATACATGATTCCCATATTGCTCAGGCCCACTACTGCTGCTTCAGAACATGAGAGAATATGCACTGAGCATATATCTGAAACTTCTTAAAGCAGCAGCAACTCTTTATATCACAAACCCCAGTAAGCAGAGATTTCATTCATTCATCCATTCATTCATCCATCCATTCATTCATTTTAGAGCACTTACAAGCTGCTTCAATCAGAATTGACCCTAGCGGCATACAATTTCCCCTTTATAATTAGAATAAAAATAAAAGTCAAGATACAAAAACAGCATAATCAATAGAATCATCTATGTAAGACCCAGAAATGAAACACAATCTACAAAATAGAATTACAGGTAGTTCTCATTTAGCAATTGCCTTGTTTAACAATAATTCACAGTTACAATGGTGATGAAAAATGTGGACAGAGAGAGAGATTTGAAAGAGGGGCCAAAGAGGCCATCTATGTCAAAATTTAACAGCCTTCTCTCAACAGAGGAGGAGGGATATGACATCATCTTCAGTCTACAACACAGTCCTTTCAACAGTTCCAAGAAGGCTTCACACCCAATTGCACTATTCAGGTGACCCTGATGACACAGATAAGCCTCCAGGTGGCATTAACAACTCACTAAAAGAATACAAATGACCAGCTGTCTACAAAGAATATAAATCCTTCCATACCCCACCATCCGGTCAGCTGAAGAAGCTTCTTGGATGAGAAGCAAAACGTCTTCAAAGAGAAAAAAGAAAGCACTTTGGGGACAACCATAACATAGATAACTGAGAATCTTCATAGCAAGTGATGATAACTGAGCAATTAGATGGGAGAGGACTCTTAAGAGGCAGATACAATGAAAATAAGTATCCTAAATGGAACCTCAATCATGAAATTTAGTGAGAAAAAGGAAGTATATTCAATATTACAGGGTGAATGGTTGGGATGTTCATGAATATTATAACTATTATAATTTGGGCTGAGACACATATACTTTGTGTTGTAAAAAAAGTTAGATATGTTTAATAGAATGTAATCCAATTTAGCTGAATGGTACTTATTGTAAGAGTTGTTTCAGACTGTAGTAAGATAAATTGCCAAACATTTTTGCAAATCCAGGCTAGGTCTCTCTCCTCAGTGACTGTTTTTAAAAGTTTGGGACTGTGTGAGAAAGTAAGCCAGATTCCAGATATTTGAATAGCTGTTATATAAATTCTCATTTGGAAAGCTAAAGTTACATGTCAGAATTCCTGTTGACTGGCAAAAATGGTAGGCGGAGCCCTGCCCATTCACAAAACACTTTCTTGTCACAAAATAACATTCACGATATCCAGCCTCCAGGATGCTTTTAGGTATCTCAACTTTGTCTCTCATTTTGGGTCAAAGAAGTACCTAAGTGTCTGTGGTGCTCATGTAGGGCCTTGAAGGATTCTTGTAAATGAAAAGGATAACAAGCCTCAGGCACTGGCTTTGCAGTAAGCCAACATTTCATGCTTTTTTTTTAATTTGAAGACTTTAAACAAAATAAATACAAATGACAAAGACCCTTAAAACCTCTAAAGAAAATACCTGTGACCAAACTGAACTGATAACCCAGCTAGGTTTGATCATAAGTAAACTCAAAGGAGACATAAATGGCATTGCCCTACCTCATATTAAAATCTAGCCACAAAAAAAGCCACAAAAATAGGCATATATTTCTTCTTTGGATTGTGAGGGTTTGCAAAAATACATCATTATGGGGGATTCAATCAATAGATTTGAGATGAATGGTTCAGGCTTGTTTAGATTTCTGAAAAGAAATTCAACATTACATTTATCAAATTATTTTTGCTGAGAAAAAATGTAATGATTTCTCCCAGACACACACACACACACACACACATACACTAATCCCACACATCAGAAAACTATTAGTGATAAACTTTTGTAATTTTGAGATACTGTTTATTATAATCTTTTGGTAGGACTGTTTATAACTCTACTTCTCTATTAATTCTGCAGTAAAAATGTATATTGGTTACAATTACCCCATGGAATTGCAATAAAATAGTGCAAAGACTAACATGCTATTTAAAAAGGCATTATAAATGTAATAATGATTTTATTATTATGAAACCATAAAATACAATAATGTTATTTATAAAACAAACCATGCTTATGTGATAAATTAATTCAGGATCAATCTTTAGAACTGGAAGGTATAAAAATAATTGAGCTATGTTTTACAGATCATAATTTCTAGATTACAATGTCAGCCATTAAATGGTTTTTAAAAATTAGTAGAAGTATTGTATTCATATATTGTATAAGTTTAATATAAGTTGATAAGTTGTAATTTTGGTTTTGTGTCCATACCTCACAAATTTATATTTGTTTATAAACATGAAAAGAAATGTAAATTCATACTAATCAGAATGATAATGTCTTGAAATTACAATGTACTTCAGTTTTTGACCCCACATATGGAAACCTATATTCATTTGAAGGTTAATATACAAGAAAGAATCTTCAAAATAAAGAGTGTTGATACAACTACACTTTAGCTAAGCAGTTGCAGCCCTTTAGATAAAAGGGCTTCAATAGACAAATATTAAGATCATGCTATGTGTTATGGAATTAGAAATACAAGCATTTGACATCTAAAGTAAATTACACAATTGCAACCATTACCTTTGATTAAGGTTGATTGAACCCAGTAATGAAGGCTGTCAACTTTGTCTTCTGACATATAACTAACAAAATTTACAAATTCATTCCCTTCCTTTTCTCTTCATTACTTGCTGATAAAACAAGACCCTATTGTTTACAAAGGATTGATAATTTAATTTGATGTAATATTTCTAAGCATGCCAAAAATATTTTTTTTCAGTTGACAAATGAACAAAAAATAGGGAGGAGGATGGGGGGATATTTAGGTATATCTAGATCATAATTGTCTGATATCTTTAGATATTTTAATTTTCTAAATAAATTTGTTTCTATTTTCATTGGAGTAGCTGAATATCATTTTTGGGAGTAGCATATTATTATTTTTGCAGTTGAAATTATTGGCTATATATTTCACTAATAAACTCCATAAACAATCTTCAAGGAATGTTAAATGACTTTGCTGCATATAATTTTCTTTTTACAATAACATCTATATTCACAAAATGTAAGTATCTCCATTTTAGCAACTATTTTTCACTTTAAAAAACAATGGGTGATTGCTAGAACTTCTGCAGGCAAAATATTTTTCATTGCACGTTTGCATTTTTCTGTTGGAAACGTATATATACATATTTCTGTTTCTACACATTTGAAGGCTAATATACTAGAAAGAGAAAGTGTTGAGTGGAATGTTCATTGAACAATAGAAAGTGTTGAATGGAATGTTCATTGAACAATTAATCAACTCTGCACACAGCCTCTTCCATATATAGCAGAAAAACAGATTCTTCCTGAATTCAGTCTAGAAAACAACTTGCATGTTTGACCACAGATGTTTTGTGGATATCTGAATCAGTTTAATCACTGGAGTAATTAATGCCTTAAATTTACCTGAAACAGAATGTATTGAATGAATCTCTAAATGGGATTTTTTTTTCTTGTTGTGCCCCTACTTCCTTATTGTCTCTCATACTTGCATTACCCGTATCTTGGTCTTGTATGTGTGACCACAAGATGGAGCTCAGTTCAAAGGAGACTACATTAGACTATTGGAAAAAAAGAAAATAACAAATATAATTTTAGTAACATTTATTTCTAAGTTGCCACATTATTTTTTAGTCATTTGCAACTAACAAATCCTGATTTATTTATTGTAACATCAAGACTTCCCATGGACTGACTTTGTCTTATAACACTGGAAATTATGAGCACAATCAATACTTTACATTCCCTATTTACTCAGAACTGATTAAATGCCAGTATAAGATACTGGCATTTATTAAAATTATCCACAGATTATCATCATCAATACTTGTTTCAGATTGCACTCCTAGAAAAAGTATCTTGATGAAACAAGAAGATTGAGTAGCCATATTTGTTACAACATGTGAATAATGGGCTGATAGAACAGTGACAAAATTGAGGGTTCTGATTTGCCTACTGTTTGAGTCATGATAGCCGTCACGGGACTGTGAAGGAGAAAGATGTATTATCTCTGAAGATTCAGTTCTATAGTTAAACAAAGATGGATTCTATTTTCCTTCTTCTCTGTTAAGGCACAGAATTCAGAATAACAGAGCTGGAAGGGGCCTCGGAGGTCTTCTAGTGCAATCCTCTCCTCAAGCAGGAGACCTTATACCGTTCTAGACAAATGGCTGTCCAATCTCTTCTTAAAAACTTATAGAGATGCACCCACAATTTCTGGAGGCAAAACATTCTACTGGTTAATTGTTCTCACTGTCAGGAAATTTCTTCCTAGTTCTACGGTACGTTGGATCTCTGTTTGATAGGTTTCTATCCATTACTTCTTATTCTGACCTCAGATGGTTTGGAGAATAGTTTGACCCTCTCTTCTCTGTGACAGTTGCTCAAATATTGAAAGACTGCTATCATGTCATTTGTAGTCCTTCTCTTTGTTAGACTAGACATGCCCAATTCCTGTGATTATTCTTCATATGTTTTAGCCTCCAGCTCTCTAATCATCTTTGTTGATTTTCTCTGCATTCTGTCTACCGTCTCAACATCTTTTTGGTATCGTGATGATTGTATACATCAGACCAACTCCTTAAAAGGGATAGAGTTTAACTCTATATTCCTCTAAAAAGAAGGATCTAACAGAGTCCATATGAATATTAAGCATGCAAACAAAAGAGTTACTTTTAAAATTTGACTCTGTTTGTCAAGTCATGACTCAAATGCTTTGAAGCCTCATTCATTAACATTCAAAATTAACCATATACTTAAATCCCTTATAGGAAATTAACTTAAGCAGTGTTTCCCATAAATTGCTCCTTAGTTGTGATCTTTGGATAGAGACCCCAGTTTAAAATATCTGTATAAATATTGTGCCCATTTGTTCAAATTTGTATATCGAATAAGGCACATACACAAATATAAGCACAATGAAACTAAAATAAAATGAAATAACCAGAATAAAAATAAAACATTTATTAAATATGAAAATTATATCTGTAAGATTAGGTAAATCTTAGGATATAATAGCAGTATAGATTTTTGTGCTGTCTTAAAATAATGAATATATTTGTTCTAAGCTTAATTCTGATTATATTTACTTGCTTGTAACAAATAAGTCCTAATAGCTCCAAGCTGCCTAATAATAATGATAATACGGCCTATAGCTACTAATTATGTGTGCATTCTAAAGAATAAAATTATAAAACAGCTATCCTTTATGCCTCAATGAAACTCAAGTGAAAAATCAAAGTCAATATCCAGCAGTCAGACAAACTAAGATGATGAAGTGCTGGAAGATAGCTAAAACAAGATAATGCTTGAACAGAGTAAACTGTGACCACAAGAACAAAGAGAAGATAAAAATCCTTATAGATCTAAGTAATTCTAGAGGAAAGAAGGTATCAGATAAGTAGAAATAATGAAAAGCAAGATGGCAATAAACCGAAATAGCACCAATAACAACAGTGGGAGGTCAGGTGCATAGTTAGCAAGAAACTACAATTATTTCATTGGAAACCAAGGTTTTAACTGGACAAATGTGGAAGGAGTCATAAGGTAATAGATGCAATCTCAAGTCAAGATAGATACACAAAAACAGAGATCCTTTCCCCACTTTCATCTACACATAGGGCAACCTCTTATTTTCATGCTTTTGTCTTCATCTTCTCTGAAATCTGTGCCTGATCTGCTTTAATTCATTTTTAGTCTTTCCATGTTAACATGTTGTTTTCCCCTGGAAGCAGTAGTAAATTATATAAAATCTGTATTAACTTCACTACTCATTATCTCAGAGGCAGTAACTCCCACATGGGAGGGATCAACCAAACACCCTATTGGTTACTTCATGCTGGTTCTAGGAGGCACCACCTATTCTAACACTGTTCCAAGGACATCCTATTTTAGGGAAAGTGAGAATCTGGCACTTTGAAAATGGGCTCTTTTAGTACCAGCACCACCAACTATAAACTGCAGATTATCTATCCAATAGGGCAGTGGTTCTCAACCTTTTCAATGCCGCGACCCCCAACCGGTTGTAAGTCAAGGACTACTCAACTGGTGCAGCACCGTTTGCAGAATGGGACTTTTGGTGGGCTCAGCAGGGCAGAGACAGCCTGGACAATTCCTATTGGCTTTTGAAGCCAATAGAATTAGACTCTATTCAAGAGAGTCTATTCTATTGGCTTTCAAAAGCCAATAGAATAAAAGGGAGTAGCACAGCTAAGGAAAAAGGGGGAAAAAAGGCGGACTGCATTGTTTGGCGATCCCTGTGAAATGGTCGTTTGACCCCAAATGGGGTCCCGACCCACAGGTTGAGAACCACTGCAATAGGGTCTAAAAGGGAATATATTTGAAATAGCAGATGACAGATTAAAACAGGCAATGAGTGTCATCCCCACCCACTTGCAGATTGACTGATTCACAAGCTCTGGAATATACTGGGTTTTGCCATACAGCTTGGCCCACGTGGGATCAGCACTCTTTCAAATTTCTACACTGCAGAAGCCCTGCTGATTAAAGGAACTTGCATGGGGGCAGATCTGACAGAGGCTTAAACTCAAGTCTGTGATTAGCAAATGGAGACTAAAATATATAAGGAAAGGCTGCTGGAATTGGGTATGTCTAGTTTAATGAAGAGAAGGATGAGGAGGGACATGATAGCAGTGTTTCAATATCTCGGGGGCTGCCACAAAGAAGAGGGAGTCAAGCTATTTTCCAAGCTGCCTGAAGGCAGGACAAAAGCAATGGATGGTAACTAACCAAAGAGAGAAGCAACCTAGAACTAAGGAGAAAATTCCTGATAGTTAGAACAATTAACCAGTGGAACAACCTGCCTCCAGAAGCGGTGAATGCTCCAACACTGGAGGTTTTTAAGAAGAAACTGGACAGCCATTTGTCCGAATTGGCATAGGGTTACCTGCCTGAGCAGGGGGTTGGACTTGATGACCTCAAAGGTCTCTTCCAACTTTATTATTATTATTATTATTATTATCATCATCATCATCATCATCATCATCATCATCATCATCATTTAGTTTCCTACCCCGTTTGTAGGCTGATACTTGAGTTAACATAAAATTCTCAAAGTTGAGTTTTATGGCTGAAGGGCTTTGGTAATATCATGTTCTTGTCTTATCACTTACTTCTGCAATTCTCATTTCTTTATATTTGCAAGATATAAGGTGGTGCACACTTGTCCCAGTTCTGGGACAAATGCCTACTCTTAGGCAATAGATAATTGCTATCTGATTAATCATTGTGAAGGCTAGTATTACTTCCTTCCATTCTTTTCCATTCCAGTAAATTGGGGAATTAGAACTGCTATGTATAAAAGGAACTTATGTTCCAACTTTTACTAATTCAACTTTTCCAGATATGATAATTTCAAATTCCCTAGTCACATATCTTTAGCCACATTGGCAACATTATAAGAGATTAAGCTCTTATCCAACAATGCAGACTGTAATTGTATTATTACTCTCATACATATAATCATCATTTAGTAAACCCAACTGGGATTGGCAACTCAGTCATTAAGCAAAGTAGCTGCTAAGTGAAACATCACAATTTTATGATGTTACTTCAGTTTTCCTTTGTTTTGCAGATCTGCAAAGGTCATAAATGTGAGGACTGGTCATGGTTTTCATCACCGTCACAACTGCAAACAGCTAAACAATGATTACCTGTACTGTACTGGTATCTGGAAATACTGAATAGCACTGACTCTAAGAGACACTGGGTTTACAATAGGAAGTATTTGAAGGCACTGACTCTAGGTCACAGGTCGGCAACCTGCGGCTCCGGAGCCACATGCGGCTCTTTGAGCCTTCCCCTGTGGCTCCCAGCCTCCTCTGCCTTTGCAGAGAGAGACAGAGACAGAGAGAGGCAATTGCACTTCCCTGCTTCTCTCTCTCTCTCTCTCTCTATGTGTGTGTGTGTCTGGATGTGTGTGTGTGTGTGTGTGTATGTGTAAAAGAGAGTGCACTCACAGTGTTCTCTGAGGTGCTGAAAAGCTTTCAGGGCGGAGCTCCTCCCTTTGCTGCGTCTCTGAAGGAAGCAGGAAGCAGGAAGGGCAGGAGAGAGCTAGCTAGCCCAGCTAGGCTGACTCAGGAATTCTGGGAGTTGAAGTTCATGAGTCATAAAAGAGACGAGGTTGCCTACCTCGGAGATTGTTGGACAACAGCTTGAAGCTTGCCAGGTGAGCAGCAGATAGGAGGGGGGGGGAGAAAGAGAGAGAGAGAAAGAGAGAGAGAGGGAGAGAGAGTGGGGGAAGAGGAGTGGCAGACCAAGGGCAGATAGAGAGGGAGGGAGAGAGACCCTTTTGACATCTAAAATGAAGATAACACTGCATATATCCTTTTTTTACCTGTGTGTGTATGTAATTTTATTCTCTTAAAGCATTCTCTTGGTGATCATTGTTTTAATAGTATGGATATTCCCAAGAGTAATATTTTTACTTTTATTTTTAATGTGTGTGTGTGTGTGTGTGTGTGTGTGTGTGTGTGTGTGTATGTGTGTATATATACATACACACACACACATACATACACAAACAAACACACACACACACACA